TACCTATGCATTATTCAAGAAGACGAACAAACGAAGAAAACGAAGATGAGGAGCATGCGCATGCGCATGCGCAACAGCCAATGACACTGATCGGGCGAGACATACTCGTACACTCACACTTACGTGTCTGGTAGCAGGCATTTGGGGAACCGATCATGGGCTGCTTGTGTGCGATCCGATCACTTGACACAGCCATTGTCAATGGTGTCGGTGTTTGTGTCTATCGTGTCTTGAATGCTCCACATGCCCATCCACCAACCATTTCGTAGCGCAATCCGCAGAGACAGACCCATTTAACGCCTCTGGCAAAATGCAACGTGGGCGTCTGACGACCTCAATGTCTCTTGCGATCCGTCGGCTCATCGTCCGATCGTCGGAGCAGCTCTTTGTTTACCTTTTTTTGTATTTCAATGCCGAATGGCTGCCTCACACCGCCGGCGATGTGCTCTCTGGTGCTTGCAGAGAGATAAGCCAAGACTATAGTGAGATTATCAATATGTATAACAGACATTACAGCGACAATATTCCAGATCTATTTTACTATGAAGACCCTTTTTTCCTTTCAAAAATACTACAATCAATGGAAGACACAATCATGGTATAATCGATTTTATAGCAACATTCAGGATTCACAGATACATTTGAATATATTTGCAGACTATTTCTTGCGTTTTGAGAAAACTAGAATGAATTATTTTATACATTGAAGAGAGATGAACAAAGACTGTAGTGAGATGATCACAAAATAATCGATATTATAGCGGCAATATTCCAAATTCATCGATCTATTTTATTGTGAAGACCCATTTTCCCTTTCAAGAACACTAGAATCAATGGAAGATGATCAAAGACTGCCCTTAGGGATAGGAACTAATGAGATGATCCTAACAAAACATATATTATAGCAACATCATATTTCACTGAAATCAGTTATATTATACACTGCAGAGAGATGAGCAGAGTGAGATAGTCATAATATAAGAGACCTTACAATAGGAAGAAGGAGAAAGCTAGAATCTGAACTACTAGTATAATTCTTCGTTTTTGTAGGGCAACTAATCACATGAGCATAATAGATATGGGGATTCAAACGAGTTGTTTGAAAATATCAGTTAAATTTATTGAGGTCAGTGCTACGAATCTAGTCAGATGATCATAATACAAGAGTTATATTATATCGGTCTTATTTTGGAATTACTATTTTTTTTAATAATAACTCTTGAGACTCACAAAATCAGTTGAATGATAGATTTAAAAACAGAAATGAAAGGTTTTTGGGTGCAGCTCTACTTAAGAGTTCGCAAAACAAATTCTCAAAATGAAAACCGATGCCACACAATCATCTTAAATGATTTCATTATCTCGAATTTTGAAAAGTCATATATTTAGAATAGAATGAACCAGATTTATTGATTTAAGGCAAGGCACAAACATGCCACCAATCATTTAACTTTCTTATGTTTTTATTGCGTTTTCGTTGTAAGTTTCTATAATTTTTGTATAACCTATACCCAAAAGGGTATACTAGTTTCTGCATTCGGTTCTGATGCGCTGCTTAAATCGATTTGCAGAAATGTAAAATGAATAATAATTACTGCTTTTGCAGACGCTTCAATGATTATACTTGGCGGAGTAAGAAAGAAACCTATACACATATGTATACTATACACTTATGTTTATATACAAGTAGAGCCTACGCTATTTGAATAGCGTTACGACATTACGGTACTTTGAACGTGTCGCCGATCAGCTGCGATATTAATTCGCATTAAATTTTTACAGCTACTATCAGAGCTTAAATCGTTCATGCCTGAACACACAAATGGAGAGAAACTACAAATGAGAAGCAAATCTGTGGCGGTACAGCCATCAATTGTTGTTCACAAACAATTCTGATACTATATATGTATATATGTATATATGATAGGAGTATATAACATCTGTAGGTTCTAATGCCAATTCTGGCTAAGAATTGTTGTTTCTCTCGACTTGCCGATAGCTCAGAGGATTCATAAAATTGTTTCAAGTTTGCTTAAGCATTTCAACATTAATTTCGCTTAACATTCTCTTTGGCTTAGTAAGGAATTCTTCTCCGAAATTTGAGAAATTTGTGTTTAAATTAATTACCCGTCTACCCATAGCTTAATAACACACAGGCAGGCAGGCAGACAGACAGACAGACAGACACTCACACATTGAAATTATTTGCTTGCACTCGAAATCTTGCCTTCTATGCACTGCAAACGTCACGCGATAACGATGTCGCCCTATATGGAGCATAGTAAGGGTATGAAAAGGTGAAACAATAAACACCAAATAAAGCATTTTGTGAGATAACCATATTTATTAAAAAAACACAAAAAAAAACTGTTAAAATATAAAATTATTACAAAAATGTGCATATAAATGAATATACTGCACTCATGTATAGTATGGAAGTGGAAATGGAAATGCATGGCAAGTGCTTGTTGTTTTTGTTATTGTTGTTGTTGTTGTTGTTGTCGTCGTGCAGCGCAGCGTATCGCATGGCATCGCAGCGCGTTGCAATGATGATGGGATGGTGTCGCTGTCGTTGTTGTTGTTGTTGTTGTTGTCGCTCGAGCTCGAGCTCGCTGAATGACATAATCTCTCAAACGTCAATTTGCCTTTGGCATTTACTGAGCGCAGGAGGGGGCGGAGCGGGTGGCGAGCATGGAGGTTGGTTATCAAGCAACACTCTAGCAATTATAATGTATGACCGCATTTGGCAGACAATCGCACACAACAAACGATCGCAGGATCTGACTGCCAGGAGGAGGAGGAGGAGGAGGAAGAGGAGCTGCTCCAAAACCACCAACCCATAATTAATAGTAATATAATTTACAAAATTAAATATTCTTCTATTTGTGGCTATGCCAGAAATTGTAACAGAGTGCCGTCTGTCTGTATGAACGCCTAGAACTGGGAATGTACCAAAGCTAGACTCACGAAACTGGCCAGAACGGACATGCGACAACTTTTTATAGCTTTCTCAAAGGTTTTAGAGTAATTATGAAATAATTCATATGTCAGTAATATAATAAGAGTCAATCGAAGCATGGCCTGTTTATATAGTACATCTCTCTGTATGAGCGCTTTGTTCTCAGGGTAAATGAGAACTGAAGCTTAACACAAGACGAGGTAGATTTTAGTATTCTGCCATGAATGGGTAGACGAGACCCCCTGAACCAAAGGACGCAAGAAGCCCGGGAAGTAGGTCCCTCCTCTGGCTCTCCCTTCAAGCTTGAAGTCACCCGTAAAGTGCTTGATGGAGATTCGGGTTTCGGTTGTTGAATCCCTATGTGCCCTTTAGGGGCACTCGTTCCATAAACCAATCAGAATAGTTGCATATACCATGCGCATCAAGAAAAAACATATGGGACCAACACTACATCTAGATGAATTGGAAGGATTGCGATTCGAAATGAAATAAAATGGTTAACAAGATAGAATGTTGGAGTCGAGCAAGCCCGCTAGTATAGTATAGTAATACCCTGCATCCAAAAGCAGCAAAAAGAAGAAAAGTGAACCCGCTGCTGCAATTTGTGGGGCGTAGTATTGTAGATATACAAGTAATATGGATTTGCCTACAATTTTTACTTGGAAATAACTGATTTGTATCAAATTTTAAATAGGGATAGAGACTTATGGAAAAGTTTTGTTTATGTGGCTATTTAATTGGGCAGAGTATTAAGAGGTGGAAAAGGGGGAAATTCAAAAGGTAAAACAAACTCGTATTGCCAAGGGATTAGGAGAGTCTGCATACGAAGTTTGGTCCAGGTGGGCTCAGTCGTTTCAGGAATCCAAGTGTTCATCCAGACAGACAGGCGGATGGACATCGGTGGATCGATTTATCTGGTCATTCTGATTAAGAATATATAAATACCTTATACCTAATGCACTCTTTTTACTCCCAAATGAAAAAGGAATTCTTCGAGTAGAAGGTCGATAGTACTGCTTTATTTATTGATCCATCCTTTGAGTTATATGAGTTGCTGGACTAAGCCCATGCAATGGATAAAATTAATACAATTATTCGCTGATGATTTGGCATTTGAGTTTTCTTCCAATTATTATTATTATACTTATGTGCAGAAGTTTCCTCAAAGTCCTTAAATGTTTGGAAAATTGCGAACAAAATGAGCGCAAAGTATTATTATCTGCAATTGATTTCCAACAATTGGGTTGACACTTGACCTGACCTGACCTCACCCGAGCTGAACTGAACTGAGCTGAGCTGACTGGTGGCAACATTTGCGGACGCGTCAGTTGATATGAGTATTAGGGCTTATATAGTACTATATATGCTAGCATATCGGCCGACTATCTACGACACGTTGCCGTCGTTCTCGTATTCAAATGAGTTTTGGTATTTGTGTCAACAATTCCCCCTCACCCCCTCCCTGCAAAGCAGCGATGATGATTACAATGTTTGCCAATTGGTGGCAACAATGTCTCTCTGTCTCTCTCTCTCCCAATCTCTGTGTGTGTGTGTGTGTGCGTGTCAATTAATTATGCAAAACGTGGCGCCAGCCGCATCCGCATCCTCATAATCATCCTCATGATTATAATTATCATATAGCCATATAGCCAGTTAAGCGAATATCACGCCCCGCCCCGCCCCCAATCCGTGGCATCTGAATCCAAATCTGAATGCATGGCGGCGCGACGGCAGCTAAGGTGGTGCGACTGCGGTGGCTACGGTGGCTACGGCGGCTACGGCAACTGCCAGCCTAAAAATGCCGCGCTAAATTCTTGAGGCGCTTAAAAATAAACTTTTTCTAGATTTTTGTCGCGCTTTAAAATAAGCTAAAAGAAATACAAGTATATACATATATATATATATATATGTATTTTTGACTTTCACTCGCGATTCCACGTTGCATTGCGTGCGTGCGTGCGTGATTGTTGTTGTTGTTGTGCAGTTGTTGTTGCAGTTGTCTCATTTATTTATTGTTGTTGTTCTCTTTAATTCGTTTCAGCACGCAAATTATGTGCGGCAAGCAGCGGAGGACTATTTGGCCCGCCGTCAGGCGCGCAACAAATCAATGACACGTTCAATGACTTCCGGCTTGGCGGGTCCAATACTTGCTATGGGGAACGTCCATTACTTGCCGGCGGCCAAAAGCGGCACCTTCTTTGCACGCGACAACGTCTCCAACTTCATAACCTGGTGCAGGTAAGTTCCCCCCAAAGAACTCCCCAACCCATAATTGGATCGGGTATCGAATTATTTAAAGTTTCGCAGGAACTCTACTTTAAGAATAGTTCTAGGGAATAGAATGCATGAACCATTCTCTAAGATACTCTACATTTAGAACAGATCTATAAAAGTCTTATATGAAATCCATAATCAGACAAGGTCTCAGATTGTTTACATTACGAGAATCTAATGTGAGACATGAGGGCTCATTATTGAAATGTCTCAGGGACGGACTCTACTTTTAGAATAGTTTTATCGAATAGTGTGTGGAACTCATGATAAAATCGGATCTTATAATGTCAGATATAAGCCCTAAACCATAAATCTTATTGCTCAAAAGTTCTAAGGAACAGATCTATTAAAAGTTGTATATAAAGTTCATAAGTGATAAATCGGATCTGGTACTATCCAAAAAAGGTAAGGTACTCTAGAATAAGAGTAGTTGTAAATAATGTACGAGATCTTTAATCAGATCAGTTAACATTTTGGAGCTCAAATTTAATAAACAGACGAATTCTCTGATTAAACAAGAATATGTAGAGATTACTGGAAGGAATTTCATATATTTAATGAATGAGAAAAGAAACAGAAAAGCATATATAGAATTTGGAAAAGCCTTTTCAGAATGTAGAAAAGCATCTATGCGAGTATAGTATATAATAGAAACCGCGCTTTGAAGTCCCTCAATTCATGCTCAAATCTGTTTCTGAATTTGTAGAAAGAGCCTTAAAATAATCGAGTGCCTATTATTTGAAACCGACGACCTCATCATGCGCAAAAACGAGAAGCATGTTATACTCTGCCTTCTGGAGGTGGCCAGACGAGGTGCCAAGTTCGGTAAGTTTCGGACCCATAACCCTAAATCGTGTCTTAATAACACCAGCCTTTGATTTGCGCAGGCATGCTTGCGCCAATGCTCGTGCAAATGGAGCGACAAATCGATCGCGAAATCGCGGCCGATAACAAAGCAAACGGAGGCAACGCTGGCACCCAAACGACCACCTTCGTGGCCACAGAGTGCAGCACACAAACGGATGCGATCGGCGTGACTGATGCGAACGAGGGCGATTCGAACGAACTCTACGACACAGACTCGGACAACGAGGACACAAGCGACGAGGGGCCGATGCTAATGTACGGACCCCAACCCCAGATCATAACAAACGATCTGAAGAGCCTCGACGAAATGGTAAGTGAATTACAATCTGCAAAACGTCAAAATGTTAACCAACAATTCGATACTGAAATGGGCTTTAAGAGGGACTTAGCCGAGTTCCGTGTGAATAATTTTGGTGAAATGAGAAAGTAGCAGGTTCGCCGGATTTGTTGATGATGTGGTGGGGCTCTAAAGCCCTGTCGAACACGGAGGCTTTGTTTTCATGAGAAATACAGCGCTTTCTAAAAACTAAATGAAGCGTTGAAAGTAGAGCTTATATCACGATGATAGGAATAACATGTCCTTGTCTCAAAGCGCTTCTTCTTTAACGGGAAGGAGTCGTGCCATGTGGTTCTGTAACTACAAGTATATCTGCTAAGCATGTTATATTCTATACGAGTATGTCCTGGACACATCTCATCATCATTGGGGAGACCAATTCTTCATCTGTGCATTATTGTTTTCTTCCCTTTGCTCTCTCTATCGAAGTCGAAGCGAACCAAACAGAGCCGAACCGCTTATGTCATGCGCTCATTATATTGTAAATTAATTTGACAAGATGTTCAGGCAGCTATGTCCAGTGGCGCTCAAAGATAGATGCCAACAGCAATTACAACACTAACAACAACAGCAGCAACCAATGCAATTACAAGTGTGTGTGCGATGGCTGCAACGATTGCAGCCGATGACAGCAGCAGCAACAACAATTGCAACTGCAACTGCAACAGCAACAGCAACATTAGCGCCCAAGGATGAGCAGACAATGCAAATCGTAGGTCGGCGGCTTATTGGTGTTGTTGGTGTTAATGTTGTTGCTGGTGCTGGTGTTGGAGTTGTCGTAGCTGGCAACGCAAACTAATGAGAGCCATAGCAACATTTCCTTACGCCAGCAGCAACATTGACATCAACGCGGCAACTGATGAAAACAATGCGCTGTTGTGTGTGTCTTCCCAGGCTGGCCAACCAAGCAGTCAACCAGCCAACCAACCGACCAACCGACCAACCATCCCGCCAGCCAGTGGGTCCAACAAATAGTTGCCGACGATGAATGCATAAATCGTTAAATGCCTGCCTGCCTGCTTGCGCTTTTTTATTGGCGTTGAAGCTCTCAGTGGGACTTCAAACGAAATCTCTTTGCAAAAGTAAACGACCCCGTCACCACTGTGTTGTGCCAAACGTTCCTATGAACCGATTTTAATAAAACTTCAGACTATCACGAGGCTATACAAGACAACATTTGGTTAAGACGTCACAACACGCAAGCAATTGAACAAGAGTTTTTTTCCACCGATCATTCCTATGGCACCTATATAAAATAATGGAGCTCTGTAAAATCTGTAATAAACTTGCTCTGCGTATGGATAAGACAAGTCTGCACACGAATTTTGGGGTCGCTAGCTGTTAGGGCAAAAAAGTTCTTGAGGTTCAGACAGTCGAACAGGGGCGCAACCTAACAGACGAACGGACGGACGTGTTTAAATCAATCCGACTCGTTATGCTATAAAGAGCAGTTACCTATAATATGGGGTCTGCCATGCTTCCTTCTGCATTTGGCGTTTAGACTTTCTAGTAAACTCTTTTGCAGGGTACAGTCAGTTTGTTTCTTTGATTTCTTCCACCGTACCAATTACAATAACAACAGCAGCAGCAATAGCACATGCTGACAAAAGATTGTCAACAACATCAGGCAAAAGCAACAACAATAAAGTGTTGCCAGTGTTGCAGTTCGCGCTACGCCTGGCGCTCAAATAGTCGCATGGACATTACAAGCATGCCACCACTCGTCAGTCAGTCAGACAGACAGTCAGACAGGCAGACAATCAGTCAGAGAAGCAGACAGTTAGACAGAGAGGCAGCCAATCAATTTGCTTGCTGCTGGTGCTGCTGCTGCTGACTGCCAAATCAGTAAATAGCCTCAACAACTTGTCGAAAATCAAATGATGTGCCATGGCAGGCAACAGCAGAGGGAGCAGCCACAAACAGATAGGTAGACAGACGGACAAATAGATAGAGCGACAGAGGGACAGACTGAGACACCAAAACTAGCCACGATCATTTGTCGCTGTTGCTGCCTCGTTGCTTGCCAATTCAACAACTACGGCACGTCGACGTCTTTTCCAATGCCTGTTTGTCTGTCTGCCTGACCGTTCGTTCGTTCGTTTGTTCGTCCGGCCGTCCGTCCGTCCATCTGTTCATCTATCCGCCTTGTAGTTGCGCATGCGATTTATGTGTGCAACAGCAGCAGCAGCAGCAGCCACAATCGTTTGTACCGCGTCCAAGCCCCGTCCAGGATCTGTTTGCTAATCTCGCATGCGTCAGAGGCGGCGGCCGATCATCGTTGCGGTTCGCGCATATCGCTGCCTTATCGCGCCTGAAGATTTATCGTTATGTCTTCTGCTACAGGAGCAACAAACAAACAAACAACTACAACAGCAACAACAACTGTAATGCATTTCGCAACAGGCGCTACCTTTGCCTGCCCCGCCGCCAATCGACTCACCGGTACGCTGCGCTGACACAGTTCCCAGGTGTCTATCCCGGGCCTCCATGTAACATCAAAACAACTGAGTTCAAAGGTGCAAACGCGTCTCTTGCCTATTGTCCGATGCTATGTCTGTCTGTCTGTCTGTCTGTCTGTCGGTCTGTTTGTCTGTCCATCGTTTTGTTGTTGTTGTTATTTTCGGGTTAGTTTTTCTTTTTTCTCTCCAGCAGCAGCGGGGTGGGGGTGGTGGCCGAAGTTTCGGCCACAGACACAGGGCCTCATCGACAGAAAAATGCCGCCAACACAGTAGCAATCGTTTGGGCCTTAGCTGGTTGGTTTATTATTGTTGTTGTTGTTGTTGTTAGTGGCATTCGTTCGATAGGCTGTTTTTCTTTTTTTGTACCCTGTACCCCAAAAGGGTAGCAGGGTATTACAAGTTTAGTGCAAAAGGAAACAAACTGAATACACGTCCATGAATATGGTCAGATAAGTCGATATAGCAGCCGTATTTGCTTGTCAGTATGAACGCCTGGATTTTGGTAACGACTAAGCCAATATTAACCAAACCCAGTAAGTACTTGTAGACTCTACTAAGCCCAAAGGAAGCCAAGTTTGTTTAACTTCTTCGCTACAGAATTTCTTCAATACTGAGCACAACTTCAAAAAACTGTGCACTGGGAAAATACGTACTTCCTAGTACTACGAGTATATTCTTGCAATTTCTCTTCAAATTTGGAACAGGTCTTAAAAAGGTTAGACCCTTAGGGCTCTCCAAAAAATTAAAAGCTGAATTCAACAAATCATGATCAAAATTAAGATTATGGCTTGCTTTAAAAGGTAATGAAAGTTAAAGCCACAAATGTAATCTCTGCCAGCTTCTTTGCTGCTGCTATGAATAGCAATCTATTCTTAGTAATTGTAAGACATCACCATATTGTTGACTTTAAACGTATCTGGGAAATTCATATTACAAGCAGTTGGGCTCTCCTCTAACTCCTTTCACATATGTATTTCAGAATTACATACATATTTCAAAATATGATCAAAATAATATAGTAAAATAATTTATAATAATATTTGAAGTCAGGTTTCTAGGTCAACATTTCTTCCAATTGCCAATAAATTTCAACTGGCAATTTAAAACTTGTTCATATTCTTCGCTTGGAAATTTATTAATTATTGTTTGTGTAAATAGTAAGTTTGACTTTTGTCAACAGTGGAAGGACAGGAATTAAAGAACCAATCCATTAATGTAAAATTATTTATTATATTTGTTTTCCCCCACTTCTCTTCGTTTAAATAGATTATTCATTTAATTTATGTTTATTGGGGTATAATACCCCTAAAATAGCTCATCACTGACAAATAGTCATAAAAGACATTGAAGGAGATTCAAAATTGTAGAGCATTCACTATTCGTTGGGGACTGATCCAAGCACCGAATTGGCATCTGACTTCGACGTCGACTCGTTTCCATTTCGCTCATTTGCTTGATCATTTGTTTGGACAATGGCGGCGCGTGAAATTATTCAGTGAAAATAATGTGACCCACGATGCCCGATGTCCGATGCCCAGGTCTGCGAGTAGGCAAAAGCCCAGACCAGACTCTCGCCCAACACTCTCGCTTCCACAGCCCGATCTCCCCGATCCCCGCCAGCAAGTAGTTGCCGCCGACTGTTGCCAAAAAACAGATCTTATGCAATGCCAAGGGAAAAAAAAATGGACAAGGGGAAGGGGAGAGGGCCAGATTAAACAGTGGACTGAAACAGAGTTCGCAATAATGGTGCTCTATCGGTAGTGGTGAGGAAATCTGCGAGTTTTCAATCACCAATCAAACTTTATTAGCGATTCCAATTAACTAATAATAATTCTTGCTCAACACTCTCAGATATTTTAGAAAAGGAAGAATCATAATTATGAAACCTACTGTTTAAAAAGAACGAAAAAGTTTAATACTGCTTTGCGAGTTAATTTAGCAATTATTATGCCAATATTTCTTCAACAAATTCGTAGATATTTTATTGACATTTTGAAAAACAAGAATCCTAAACACCGCAAACGGGAAGGAAAATGAACTCACCACAGAATTTGGCACTGTTATTCCAAATAATTAACAGTAGCACTGCTCTGTTAACGCTTAACGCGATCGCAATCACAGCTACTTCTTACAGAGCTTATAAACGTTTGTAGCTCTGTTAAGGATCGCTCTGATTGCGTTTGCTGCTGAGAGCTAAAAGAGCGATCTTTAGAGATGTTATAATAACATCATAACAACTATAGTTTGCTGTTAAAAGTTTAACAAAACGATGTTACTGTAAATGCTTTTGGCACTCACAGCGATCTTTAACATTACTTCTAAACTAGCAGAGCAATAACAGAAGCATTGTTAGTAAGGACTATACGGAAAAGAAAATAACTGTTTGGTTTATTTCTAACTTAAAAGATATTCCCGAACTTGGCAATGATGTACTAAATCCTATTTCCGCTGACACAGAGTTTTTGTCAAGTTCTAGACACGAGTTTTCGGTGATTTAGACGCGTAAAATAATATATATTTTAAATACCACCTCTCTTTTCTTCGCCTACAGGTCAGGGATTTGGTTGAGAAGTGCACCTGTCCCTCTCAGTTCCCAATGGTTCGGGTTTCGGAGGGCAAATACCGCATTGGAGACACAAAAGTGTTGATATTTGTGCGCGTAAGTATTTGATGAACAGATAGAGATATAGAGAGGAGAAGAAAGACTGGAATTTTGGATCTCCATTGCAGATATTACGCTCCCATGTGATGGTGCGCGTCGGCGGGGGTTGGGACACGCTCGCCCACTACTTGGACAAGCACGATCCGTGCCGCTGCCGAGCCCAGCATCGTACATCTGTGGCCGCCCGCCTCATACCGCGCTCCACAAACCCAACTGGCAATGGTATCGAGCTACACAAGGCGCAGGTGATATTCGAGCGGTGAGTGAACAAGTCGGGTATGGTCGGCCAAACTGTGACTGACTCGTCAGCTAATGTTCCGCCATTTGGTCGATGATGGAGCCAAGTGGCTGTCGCAATTAAAATAGCGCCCATTACCATTACCATGCATTAAGTTGTTATCGCCCGCTAATTGCATGCATAGAGCCGATAATGACATGTCTTTACACAGTTCTAGATGCTGAGGCATTATACTTGTAAATGCCCGCAAATTAATGTAAGGCCGGCAGTAACAGAGCGGACCAGCCAGGCAAGTGATGAGATGTGCGGCTTTTGTCAACTGACGAACCAAGATTTCAGACAGACGTAAATTTCAAGACGGTCCTCCTTTCAAGTTGTGTGCATGATGGAAGCTTCTTGTTAATCCTGCTTGCTGAATTCTTGTATAGGAGTAAATGCATTTTTTCGATTTCGTATAAAAATCAAATTTTGAAAACATACCAAGAGATTGTAAATTATAATTATATCCACTTCACAACACACTTCTGTATTCAAAAGAAAGACTTTCCAAAAACAACTTTCAACTACTACTTTCAAATTAAAAAACCCACAAATGAGGTAAAACGTAGGTCAAACATTCTATTTATAACTATTTGTCCCGACAGATTGCTGTTGAACTCTAACTTTAAAAGAAGCCAACAAGCTATTTTGGAAATTTTAACCTCGAAATGGGGTAAAACGTGGGTCAAACTTTTTATAGGCATCCAACAAACTTTACACTTAAGCAAATCTCTGTGATATGAAAAAATAGTGTGATGCTTAAACTTGAATCTGGATGGTGCAGACAGTATAATAGGAATTACCATCGCCATAATCGCATGCCCAGCGCAGAGAAAAAAAGCGCCGACTAATATGTAAAACTAAGAAAGAATTATCGACTCTTAGGGTAGGGTATTTATCCTTTCCATGTGGCAGAGCAATTCCAACAGTGTATTGAAAAATGAAGTACACTTCTTTTAATAAAGCAAGCAAAAGGCCCGGATCCTAATTCTTGTGAAAACATGCAGTATTTTTGAGCGCATACGGAATACATTGTACGCCTCATTTCTTAAAAACTTGGTCAACCTTATGTCAGGACAAATATTTCAGGTCCTGAACCACAAAACGGCAATCTTTAGTGCTTCAGACACATAAATATATAAGTATACACTCCCGACTATATGAAATGCTGGTCATTTACAGATCACCGCCCACAGCACGTCGTATCATATCGAATTTCAACAGTCCGGCATCCCCTAACGGAACAACAACAATAGCAGGAAATACGAGTTCTCCAAACACGACCAACAACAGCCTGTCGCCGAGCTTGGCGAGCGCTGCCGGCCCCGCTAAGTATCGGAGTCGTAGTCCCACACCACAACGCAAGTTTAGGAATTACATCAATGGATTTGGACTTGCCATTGAATCGACCACTGAGCGGCCACAGGAGATACCGCCATCAACCAATTTAAACTCCAGCTCCAATTCGAACAGAAGCCAATTGTTGGTCACACCCAGCTTTCCTAGACGCTCCATGTCGCCGAGTCCCCGACGTCTGATAGATATGCGCAAAAAGCAGAACTCCCTCGAGTCCTACAACAACACCCCTACACCCCTTGTCAGCGACTTCCCCGCTCAGCTGGACGAAGGCGCCGCTGGCTCGACTCCATCAGCCAGCGTGGCAGTCTCGGCGAGCACCACAAATGGCACCACAACTAGCACCACTGGTGGCAACGGAGGGGAGCAGACCAACAAGTTCGAGAACATTAGCGACAATGGGAGCGAGATCAGCGACGAGGGTTATCGCAGCCTCGGAGTCATTCAGTCCAATGCACAGAAACGCGAGTCCCTGCACAGTCAGGCTTCCATGGAAGATGCTGAAAGCAATGGTAAGAACACCCTTACCTCCCTAACCCTCCCATTTTAGGAGAGAGAGTTTTGCTGAGATTAAGTGAAAAAAATGATGACAAGAGAACGTTTGGATCTCAGCTTAAACCATTGAGAGCATTAGGAATTGCTTCTGGTCCTCTGGACTCAATACGTCTCTGATATTGAAGTATGATGAAGACCTTACTCGATAGACCTTTTGCATAATCATAGCAACAAAAAGAACCCCTCGAAGAGTTAAGAAAATAGTGCTGAATTAAAACTGTTCTCTTCTAGGATTATAAACAATTACAACTGGTACAAACCAGTTAGATGATTATAACTATAACAAGGGGTTACATTTTGCCTTTTTTAAAATCTGAACACAAATTCTGAAATTTTCTTTCCATACCTTTCGATCTGTGCTTTATGATACAATCATAAGTAATAATACAATATAAAAACTCACCTTTTTAATATATTTTTTCTATTCTTCTTCGATTTTTGCTATGCAGCGCGTCTCGATCAAACATCCAGCGACTCGCAGATCTCGCCCACGGACGATGCAGCCACCAAGGTGGTGGAAATAGTTGATGCCGAGTTCACAACCAATGATCCCTCTGATGGCCCTCTGTCGCTGCCCACTATGTTGCCGCTGCCCAAGGAGTTGGAGGAGGAGGTAGAGGAAGAGCTGCAGGTAGAGGTAGAGGAAGGGAACTGCGACAATAGCTCCAAATTTGAGCAGTCGGGCGTCTTCATTACGGACGATGAGATCACTGTGGATATTGCAGGGAGCACTGGACTGCGCCGCACTGGACTGCGCCGCGGGGTCTTATACCCCAGGATTCTGAACATTCGTGCTGTTGTAGAGGATGTCATTGATGGTGGCAAGCCTGAAGCAGCAACAGCAGCAGCTCAAAGTGGCAGCAAAATTCCGCGTTCCCCGCTGCCGCCGCGTCGTCGCAGCAGCATTGACAACAGCACCTGCGGTGGTGCCGGTGGCAGTCTACAGGATCTGACGTCACGCACCGGTCTGCCGTCATCGTCTCTGAATCGCAAGAAGCCCGTCTATCGTTCGGTGCGCAAACCACCGTCCGCTGAGCGTTCGGGACGTGCAACGCCAACACCAACGCCGCCGCCACGAACCAAAGCCTCGTATCTGCCGACAGTGCGGGATGTGACCAACACATGGAGCGGTCGGAGCGCTGTGGCGGCAACGGCCAGCAAGAAGCGTCCAACGATCAATGCGGACACCTTCGCCTCTCCATCGCCCTTCGAGCGGAATGTGAAGACACGCTCCTCGCAGATTCTCTACGACAGCAATGGAAGACGGGTGCGTGGCTGCACCAGCTCGCTGACCACTTCACCGGTGAAGAATCACGCCTCCTCCCCACTGATCCAGCAGCTACGCGAGGCGGCCAACAGTACCAAGAACGAAGCGGAGATACTCGAGAAGATGAAGACCCTGTTGTCGCGCTATGCGGCCAGCAATCAGGCGAAAGGCGCCAAATCCCAAAACGGTTCCAATTCTGGATCGGGCAAGAAGACACCCGTTTACGAGGACTTTACCACAGCGTGGGTGCACTGTAATGGTAATCTGGAGCGCTCCAATAGCTGCTCGCCGCCAGCCAAAACGCGCTCCAAGCGCAGCTCAGCGGCCTCCTCCTGTGAGAGCAACAATTCCCGGGATATGACTGTGGTGGTGTCCCCCAGACGCGAACGTGGTGCCTCCAAAATTCCGGCGCCGGTTCGCCATCATACCGAGCTTTATTAACAGCGTCTACGGGCGCTGAGCGTCCACCGGAGACCGCGTTAGAGCGCCAAAGTTTCGAATATGTTAACGATCAGGTGAGGGTGGACGGGTGGACGAGGAGTCTGTAGGAGTCTGGGGTGTTTAGGTTAGCCACTATGTTAAGAGTGTTAAAGCCAAGCTGGAATTGTCGTCGTCGTCGCTCGCTCGGTCTCTCCAAATGATCTAGAAGGAAAGAAATGAATAGGTTAGGTTGACTCGATCCGTACCGATCGAACCGTTCCATACATACAAGTATATATGTATATCACTTTGTAATCGCACGATCATTAAATAATAGTATTATAATCAGAATCAGAACTGCCTCATAGAAAACATAGAATGCACGCACAGATATCTTCCGAAAATCATGCAAATCGAAGGTCCAAGTCCGGCTCTCGGAACAGATTTTATTGACCAAAATATATACACACATATATATATTATATATATACACGTATAATCCTCTCTCTCAATACTCTCTTTACTCTCCATATAAAGCGTACTATTTATACAAATTAAGCTAACACTCTCTCTTTCTATATAGCTGGGCAGTCGGACTTATTGTGATTCGATTTGTTTATGTTATTGGTGGATCCATCTGTGCTTCATAATGTTACCGAATTACAATCCGAAAATTGAGACTTGCAGCAAAAAAGTTTTAATCCATTTTTTTTTTTACCAAAATTATCAAATAAGCCGTATATACATATATATACAAAGACTTTCGATCTAAACATTATATACATACATATATTATAATACATACATATACAAGTATGTATTTAAAAGAGCATTAGAATGTGTCGTCGTGATATGAAAATCAATTCACTGTTTCTTTCTTTTCTCAAGAGAGTTGCCTAAAAGTTTTAGATGCGCGCATAGTTTTCTAGAAGTTTTTCAAAGCAACAGCAATCGATCGACTCGACTGTGTTGGAACGTATGTATAACGATGTATATTTTTTACGAATACCGATACTACTACCGTAGAAGCTTGTAAATAGAGTGGATGGATAAAAGGAACATAATATATAATGTATAGGAAATGTGTAACAAAGAGAAAGAGAGAGAGAGGGAGAGAAGGCGATCGCTTGATGGTGAAGTGGGAAACGAAATATGAAATATGACTGTTGTTATCGAAAATTATGATTACTCTATTATTTTTTTATTTGCTGGGACGTAGTTTTATAGAGCAACCATTTATTTTTGTACGATCCGATAACTAATGGGAAGATTTTAACAAAAATCGATTGCAGTTATCGATAGTAGTTAGTAAATGGGGCAAGAGAGTGGGGGAAAAGGGCGAATAGCGACACAAACTAGGTGCTTTCCGAGCTATAAAATAATAATAACAATAATAACACTAACAATAAATAATTAAATCCGTTTTAAAAATGCCCTTTGATATCGCCATTTTCACACATACAGTTTCGTAAGTTATAGCCCCATATATACGTATATATGCTAAGCTAATAAGCCCCTATAACCACCCCTCTATACACAACAATACAATTATTGTAACACTAACAGTAACACCAACTAACGATATATATAATCATATATTATAACTATAACTTCAAAACGAGAGTCACAAAACGCATTTTGCAAACGAATTTTTATTCTTTTTATATTCTTTCTTCAGATATGATTTGTAATTTCTAGAAGGCCATTAATATTTCTCAAAATTACCATGTAGGCAATGAATTTTGATTTCTACACACAACTGGAGGCCAGAGATTTAGTTTTAAATGTTATATCCCCTTAAATACAAATACATAAAGATAGTACATACATACATACATATATGCTTCTTGTCTCTTCGATAAACAGTTTTAAGTCGCCAAGTCTTTCAGCTTTTACTGCAAACCAAATGAAACGAAAGTAAAAGTAAAGTAAAAATAAAAATAAAAATAATATCGACAACAAATCAAGCAATTAAAGCATAATAAATCATAAGAATCAAACACAAATGATTTGTTTATAAAACTATTAAGTAAGCCACTAAGCAAAATGACAATTTAATTGTTTACACACACGCTTCTGCACTCGATGCATCAGATTTTGCATCAGAAAATGTTTCTTTTTTATTCTTGGTGTTGATTTTTGAACTATATTTTCGGCAGAATTGATAATAAAATAAAACAACACATATACAGACATACATACATACATGTATCGAAAACATATAAAAGGTATTTTAAATACAATTAACCGTTATTATGAAATTATTTCAAGCAAACTAACTATTAAAAATGGAATAGAGTACGAGACATGTATCTGTAAAAAAAAGGAATGAATAAATAAAGCGATTACTGATTTTAATCACGAGAATTCAATGTACGAGTAATAATAAAATATACCGAAACAAACAACAACAAACCAAAAAGCATTTGCGAGTCTTTTTATTTGGGTTTATGCCGAAAAGCATCGCGATAATTTCGGAAAGCGGAAATCATCTTAACTGGCCGTTATATGATGCTGTTATCGGATATCGTTTCCTCAACAGCCTCTCTCCCAGTACTAAATTTTCATACACAAAGAATTATACACCAGGCGCGCATAAGTGAACAGCAAGTACACAAGCTTGCTGGGTTTTAAAATCTGAATGTGAGAAGCATTGCGAAATGTAAACAAACTGGGGCTCTCCTATTGGTTGCATTTCAAAAGTAAACAAAAGCGATCCTAACGGTGCTTTGCGAAATGTAAACAAGCTGCACTTCAATTGTAAACAAAACTCAGCTGCATTTTGAAAAGTAAACAAACAAAATGGTTGCATTTCAAACGTAAGCAAAAGCGATCTAAGCAAAAATCAGCTGACTAACATTAAATAAACCAGCAATGCATTTGCCTTCTGCTCATTTATGTGTGCCTGGTAGACAGGGCTGGTTTAAGTGTCGTTAAGAACGCCCACCCAACTCTGTTGGATTTTAATTTTGTCGGTTTTTATTTTAAATTTACGTACACTTAATATAATCAAATACCAGGCGAACATAAATCAGCAGAAAGTAAACCAGCTGGCTGGGATTTATATTGTGAATGCATACAAAAAGCAGTGGTTCACAATAGCACCTAACGGTGCTTTGCGAAAAGTAAACAAAATGAAGCCCTCCTATTGGTTCCTTTAAAATGTAAACAAAGCGATCCTTACGGTGCCCTGCAAAATGTAAACAGCCTGCATTTTATTTGTAAACAAAAATCAGCTGCATTTCGAAACGTAAACAAACTGAAGTTCTCCTTTTGATTGCATTTCAAACGTAAACAAAAGCGATCTAAGCAAAAATCAGCTGCTTAACATCAAATAAACATGGAATTTATTCACCTACTACTCATTTTTGTTTACCTGGTAGGTAATAGTACTTGTTTTAATGTCGATAAAAAGGCCCGACGGAGGAGGGCACCCAAAATAAAAACTAAACTTAATTTAAGCTTTTATTTTGCATTATAATGCAAATTAAAATCGATTTTGATTTCAATTGCATTTAACATACATATGTACATAAATACTAAGTAATATGATTTGAAGTTAATTTACAACATAGAACATATTCCTGCTGTTTATCTAAGTATTAATGTTGAGAGTTTAGGCCGAAAATCAGTGGCAAAATGGCAACGATAAAGAAAAGCTATGTATATCAGGCGTGGTTGATGTTAGAAAATTCTTAATGGTTGCGGAAAACGAAAAGAGACCATTTTGGAACATTATTTTGGATGTGTAAATAAATATGACCTAGCATTGTCTGACCAAGCGGGATTACAATATCATAAAAATATGCTACATTATAACGATATTTCTTTGTGCGTGGCCGCTAATAGCAATTTTTCATAACTTCCATAATTCCATAATCCTTCCATAATAATGTTTACTAGCGCATAGAAACTTTGGTTCAATTAACTTAAAACACAAAGAAGTTATCCCAAAACTGGCCGACATTTCGAATGATAGCTATAGCTGTTTGTTTTTGTTTAAGCTCGAGTATATGTCATATCAAATTTGATTATGAAGGCTCTAAGAACAAAGAAGTTATCCCGAAATTGGCCGAACTTTTGTATGACAGCTACATAATATACTTGTTTGATGTTGTTTAAGCTCGAGCATATGTCAAACCTTTATATGTCCTTGTCCTTTCTCGGACTTCGGAGAATCAGTCAGTGTACTAGTTTCGTTATTCTACCTCTTATACATTCCGAGATCCTTGCATTCATACAGACAGATAGACGAACAGAGCTGTATCGATTCGTTCCTTTGGTTAAAGGGTATAAAAAGAACAGCTGGGATTAGGAAGTGGGGGAGGGTTGGGTTGGTTGGAACCGCCACAACTTCTTCGGTTCAAATTGTTGTTAAGAACTTTACTTGACGAGTAAGTTGAAATTATGCGGTATTTGAACTTATCATTTAAATAGTTCTACCAGCTGTGTTGTTGTTGCCGTTGGGGCTGTTGTTGTGCACTGACCAGATCATTGAATAATTGCGCACGGCGACAATTTTCACAGTTATAGGCTCGGAACGGGCCGCACTGTTCGGAACGATAGGCGAACATATGCAAGTCCACAGATATGTACAAGTATGCATATTCAGAGTGGGATCGAGCGTTGGATGATTCTAAACCACATAGCGCTGCGATGCTTAAGCTTGGTTTACAATTTGCGGCCATAATACTACTACTGGTGATTAATATTAAAATATATTGTCCTCCACACACACACACACACACACACACACACACACACACACACACACACTCATTTCTATTTGTTAATCTAATTACTGGCTGGACTTACTATTTAAGGTGAACTGCGAGCAGAGCGAGGCGAGCTTTTGGCCAAAGATAGCGTCCGTTAATAAGGAAGGGATCTGCGCGTTTCAAAAGTAAGTTCCAAATGCAAATTTGCGAGCACAATGCGGCAGGCAGGTGCCGTAACAACTAGCTTTTTGTCGCCTACAATATCGATAGCTAGCTCCTCGCACTTATCGAATTGAGGACAACAGCTGGTTATCTGTAACGATATTCCTGCAGGTGATCAAAAAGCCTTCGGCAGATACGGCCACACAGCATTTGTTGAAACCGAATTTCAATCGCTTGCGGCTTAGATCTGGTTGACATGCTTTGCTGCGTCTTTAAACTGAATTGGAATTATATTTAATAATGAAACCTCTTCCTTATTAAGCACCAAACTATTGTCCCTTTTGAATCTGCTGTGTAACACCACGCAGACGAGCTCAGTGCAGATGCGGGATGCCTGCTACGGCTGCTTTTTTCGCGCCGGCAGCATCCCCGATGGACCTAGTCAGCTATTCTCGCTAAACGACTGCGCCCGGCTCTACATACAACAGTCGAACTATTCGGCTTGTGCCACCAATTTGCAGGCCATTGTGGATGGCAACAGGCCCGTACCCGATGCTGGACCCGCATCTGCTGGCTTCTGCTACGGCGGCTATTGCGAATTTGTGCGCTGCGTGCGGCGGATTAACACCCAACAACTGGTCAGAAGGCGCTTTCAATAGCTCAAGCCGACAGTCGACGGTTTCTCATCATTGCTGTTGTTGTTTCCTCCACAGATATTGTCCTGCTACAATGAAACTCGAGGAACGCTCGATCTCACAACGGGCATGGACCAAATATACTTCTTCACCAACATTACGTCGTGTATTTTGGCCAAAACGCGCTGCTCGCAATACAATCCTATTACGGGGGAGTTACAGAATTCGCTGATACGGCCACCGCCGGCGGGCGGGCCTGTCAATGTCGGACCAGTGCCGGTTGTGGGGACAGTTCCGCCGGTGGTTTTGAATGCCCTGCAGATAACTGAATCGGGCGATATGCGCATCTTAGCTTTTCCCACAGCCATCACGAGTGTCAGCGATCCATTCTGTGCCGCACCGCCGCCGCTGCTGCAGGCGGGATTCAGCACTTACTTCTGTTAATGGAGTTGAACGATTAAATGCATTTATACATACATACATTCATATTATAAAATACGCATATAAATATGTTATTTAACTTATGTGGCGCACAAGTTTTATTTTTCGTCGTGCTTGGAATTGGAGCTTAGCTTGTAAGCACAAGAAGAAAAAAAGATAACTATAAAACTAAATTAAATTTGTTGAGGCGGTCGATCTATAGATCGCCAAAGTTTCCGGGATTACCACCGGAACGAGCTTTCTCTTGACTCTCAGTCCAAGCCTTGGCAATCATTTGCTTGGTTTTTGAGTCGCCATCATTGTACATTTTCTTCATGATGTTCACGAGCGCGTTCTCGGGATTCTCGCCGTCCTTAGCCAAATCACTGTCTTGCTTTTGCTTCAGGCGCTTCTGTATGGCAGTTAGAACATCCCAGTTCTGGCCCTCGTCGGCCTTCTTCAAGTAAATGGCCACCATATCGGTCTTCAGTTTGCGATAGCTCTTCTCAATATCGATGGGATGCAGCAGATTGTTGACCGTCAGCCCATAATCCTTGCCATTCAGATCACGCACATGCAATTGCATGGATGTTTCCGTGTAGTTTATGACGACATCATCCTCTGAGCAATTCTGTACACCATTCAGCGTTATAAACAGCTTCACAAATTTCGCGCTCTGATCCCAGCCATAGTCGGTGAGCTCATGGAGATATCTACAATCACATTCAATTGGCAACTATATACATATGTACATATGTATGTGCGTATGTCTCACCTTTTTGCGTCGCCGCCATTAGTGCCAGCGGCCAACCGTTCGGCTGCAATGCGAGCCTTCATCTCCAAATTCACAATTTCACGCTCAGCCTCCGCCTTGGCCTGCGTAAGAATGCCTTTAACGCGCGCACGTTGCGCCTCCTCCAATAATTTGGTTAATTCTGCGACATCGGCTTTCAGCTTTAAGAAATCGAACAAAATGGGTTTACCAACGATGCTTAAATGTATTTTCGGCAATTTCCGCACTCACCTCATCGAGCGACATCTTTGTTTTATTTATTGTATATTTTTTTCTATGTATTTCTTTGTGCAACCAAAATTTTCAAAAACATGCAAGGAAACTTCGAGCAAGTTTAATGACGCCGGTGCTTACTGAGTTCGTGCTAAAAAATGTCAAGCGCGTTGTTACTGTTATCGGAACTAGTTCTTTACACAAATGATGATGGTTTAGTTTGGAGCTAAACCCGCGGAGCTAGTTCTACGAAAAAACAAAATTTAAAAACAATTATCGGAGCCAATTCTTTTTCAAATGTGGCCACACTGCACATTATAACGGCGCTTTTCCAGTTAGCGAATACTCTTCAAATTGTTATGCGTGTTTGTATGTACGTATCAGCAGATTGCTCCGCTAATTTATTTTGTAAACCGCATTCGCATTGTTTGTACTTGAGAAAATGAGCTTGCAAGATGAGAGTTTTCCGGAAGACGATATATTTAATAAACTAAACGGATCAAAGCACGATCACGAGTCACAACTTAGTAGTATACCCGAACGACGACGACCGTTGACGCCATTTTTAAACAGCGACTGCTCTGAGGCGGACCACTCCTACACGGAGGCGGCGAACACCAGTGGAAAGACCTGTGTGAGCGATCCAACGGGCCTCGACCAGGCGGATGCAGATGGCGAAGATGGTGAGTCCGAGCCGTGCTGGTGCCTACAGTCTAGAGCTGTGCGCGTAACTAAATATATCCTTGGCATTTCAGGGGAGGACGATGGAAAGGACGTCAATGCTCAGCTGGGTACGAGTCGGAGCACAAAGGCGTTCTCCTATCAGGATATACACTCGAAGGCGACGAAGCGGCGCTACAAGCACGTCACGAGCAAAGTTTCGCAATACATTGCTGCCATACAGGCACAGGATCAGAAGCGTCGCACCAAACCAAACACATTTCAGAGGCATCGCTCAATGCCAGAGACGCTGACGCCAAAGGCAATGCCCCGAGAGGTGCATTACAGTGCCGAGGAGCTGCGTACCGCCAAAGAGTCGAGCTCGACCAACAACAATAGCAGCGAAGGTGACGCGCAGACGTCAACGGATCGAGACGAGAGCTATGAGCGTCTCCTGAACGAAAAGGATCGCATGCAGAGCTACAATGAGTATTTGCAGGCACAGCTGCATAAGGAACTTGACGAGAAAATATTACTGAGACGCAACTTCGAGGCCGTACGTATCGAATTAGATGACCACAAGCTGATGCTGAAGCGCCAGAATTGTGTTAATTACGCCCGGGGTGGCCAACAACGTCATTCGCTCGGCTCCCTCATCTATTGTCCGGTCAGTATTGAGAAAAGCACACAAACCGAACACATCTCGATGCCAGGCCAGCTGCCGAGTCTGCCCGAAACCCTGCCACCCAGCGCCAAGAATCTTACGTTCGACAGCAGCGGCTTAAGCGCTGGCTCCAGCGAAGTGGCGCTCCTAAGTGTGGGCCCCGCACCTAACAATAATAATAATAATGCTAACAGGAAAACTAATGCCAACATCCAACCGCTTGCATTGAATTTTAGCAACGATAGCGTCGAAATGGACTCCCACGGCAATGGTAGGTTCTCAAAACACGGGCGCTTTTCCTTTTTTATTTTGCGCTTAAAAATTGTGTCTTCTCCTTTGGTTTAAATGTAATACACGTTAGCCTAAGCGCCTATGTCTATATAATAAGCAGAAAGAATCGTTGTACACTTGTCTATCTGCCCGTTCGTCCCCCTGTTCGACTGTATGAGCTTCAATAGCTTTGTAACCATTATGGTTGGGGACACCAAACTTGGTATGTAGCCTTGTCTTGTTCATAACCAAACCATATCTGGTCTAATTGAGGACTACGCTGAGATAAGGGCATTCTGGACCTTTGAAGCACAATTTGACCAAAGCAGACGAGTCTGAAAAAAAAAACACCGACTGTATTGATACTACAAGTCAGCCCAACACCAGAAAGGACTTCCAAACAAGTCATTGCGATTCTACCCTTGGAGCGTAGAACGATCCCGACAGGAATATGTTTCAAGCAAAGGAGTACTCTTGAAATAGTATGTGTAGGAAAGTTAGCGCCAATTACCGACTATTAACGGTCTCAAAACATAGAAATAAAACGTGCTTCAAATAATGGTTCAAGCGAAGGAAAAACTATTTCAAATACCCATAAAACGTTTCTGATGTCTGCGTACTGATATGTTTTTTAGGCGCAACATATAAAAGGCAGCCTCCGCGTATAAACATAATTTACGAACTCCTCTCATCTCTACTGTTTGCAGTTGAATCCAATGCCGGGACAGTTCAAGCTGCCAGCTCGTCTAATCGCAACAGCCATCCGAGCAGCAATGATTCGGCGATTGAGGTGGAAGTGGAGCTGAGATCGCCGACACCCGATGCATCCCGATATCGACGTAATTCTATCATATTTATACCAACGGAGGTGGCCGATCAACGAGAACGTGAGCGTGAACGCGTTTATTACTTTGACAAGCGCTCGAATCGCGTCATTGAGCTGGAGAAGGTGAGTTCCCTGAGCAATGAGGATCCGTCGAGGGAAAATGTTGTATTCTTCCGCAGGAAGCGTTCGCTGCGATCGCGTTTTTTGCGCATCTTTGGACCATGTGTGAGCTGCCAGGATGCGAATAACTCTGAATTCAATCAAACAACTTATTCAGAGATGCCGCTGCTGGGAAAAAGTTACGCACAAAACTGCAGTTCGCATTGAATACCCAATTCTTTCCGAGCATTTCGCAGACAATAATTGGAATAACTTTTGTGGTTAGCAAAAGTATTTGTCCAATCGTTTCTGTATATATGCTTCTATTTGTATTTATATTCGTGCTGCTGGTCTATGCCTATATTTTAATTTATTTATTTATTACATTTATTAGTGTAGTTTACAAGTTTTAGTCGATTATACACTTAAATGTCGGATTTCATTTTAGTCCAAAAAAAATATTGTTTGCTCGAATATATCTTTTTGTAATTATTTGTAAGTTTTAGTCCAATATTTATGTGGTTGTTAAGTTCGATTTTTTTTTAGTTTAAAGTTTAAATAATTATGTGCCTGTTAAAAAGTGTTATTCGCTTCAAAGCTAAAGCAGGCTTTCAGCTTAGTGATAAGGTTGCGATTAAAAACATATTAATTGTAGATTTAAAACACAGTTGAATGTTTGCTTAATTTTTGTTTGTAAAAAGACTATTAAGTTGAAAATACATACATATATTTACCGAGATAATTAATGTGATGATACGCAAAAAAAAAAGAGTTAAAATCCACAAGAATGGCGCATAATTATCAAAGCCTACACATAGCAGATGGTGCACCGCAACAACAAGCACGGATGAATGCCTTTCAAAACTTCGGGTATCGATTGTACAACGCGAATTAAAATGCAAATCTTACTATCGTTTAAAAAAAACCAATGTTGGCGCCTAATAGCCAAAATTTCCACTAGCAATTCGATGCCTATCGATAGTCTGTCGCGTTATGCACAGAAAATGTGCTAAATAACATTTAAGTATTTAAATACCGTTTCGGAATGCAGTATCTAATACTGCAGAATCCATCCATTTTACGTGCTGATACTGTTTTGTTAGCTGTGATTAATCCTAAATCAGTCGCTGCCGTTAACACACCGCTTATTGTTAATTAGATAATAAGTCAATTGCATGCTTTATTCGAGCGCCGATTTTTGCATTGGGTTACCAATAAGCAATTTCTTACGATAATACATTGTGGCTAAAAGACTAACAGCAACAACAATACCGGCTGCGACAGCACGGGAGAAGGAAAGCGGCCGTCAACGAATGTGGAGCCGAAAGTGTGAGTTGGGGTACAAAAAAAGAATTGTCAGTGGAAAATACAATTTTGGTAACACAACACAACAAAATTTCAGGTTAAAATTCTCCGTGAGGACAAAATTGACAATATATTGGCGCAAGAACCGGAATCCGCGGCAGTGAAAATATTTTCAGAAGACGGCAGGCGGAACAAAAAGGACGTGCGCGTGAGTGAGTGAAAGGACGTAGAAGGATATAATATTAGCAAAGCCGGTTGCTACGCTCACGTCTATGCGCTGCGAAAGCGATCCGTCCACCATCAGCACACCACCACCACGACTGCTGATTGTCCCTCAGAGGCAATGGCTGAGCGCATTCATTCCACCAGCCATCCACTGGCCACGCACATCGCCTACGACGCCTTTGTAGCGGCAACAAAGAAGGTCCACATTGCCGGCAACTCCAGTCCCAAACTGGCTGCCCAGCAACAACAACAAACCATCCAGAGCGGTAGCAGTGGTGTTCACTCCTGGAACAGTGCCCGGCAGGAGGAGCAGCCATTGCCAGTGCGAGCCTATCAGTCCGGCAGCACAAAAGCCGTTTTTGTTGGCGGCAAACAGCAGGCAACTCACGTAGGACTGCAGCCTACCAATAACAACAATAGCAATAGCAACAACAACAATAATAGCACGACTGGCAGAGCGGGTAGGAATCCGGCATTGTTGTTGGATCAGTTAACGGGTCTGCCGTCGAAACAAAAGCCGCGCAACAAAAACGATGGTACGCACAAGAGTAATTTATATACATCATGTGTGTGTGTGTGTTAAGATAGTATAGTTGTGTGGGTTTTCAAATCTATTTTTATGCACAAATACTCAACTCGACGAGTGCGTGGCAAATTATTCATATTACTGCCCCCCAAACGCACTTCTATAGACCAGACAGACAGACAGACGGACAGGCAGACAGACAGACAAACAGAGTCATATTGCCAGTTGAAGGTGTTAACTAAATTTGTTTTCAGTTTCAGCCTCAGCTGCCAACGTACATACATATAGTATATACACGTACATATACATATATTCATATCGATATCTATTTGTGTAAATTGAAAACTAAGCGCAGTTCTAGAGATCAGACGACAGATAGACGGACGGACCTAGTCGAATTTCCAGTTGGAGATGTTAACTGAACTTGTTGTTAATTTTTGATTCACATTTGAAAGTTTTTCTGTTTATTTGCAGAGGCAATAAAGGATCTATTGCAACGCATACCCGACATCGATCGCATCTTTAATGTGCATAGCCGGATCGGTAATGGCACCTTCAGCACCGTCCTTTTGGCCACCCTTAAGAAGGAGGGTCGCATGCCGGAGGCGGCGAGACGCAAATTTGCGATCAAACATCATATACCCACCAGTCATCCTGATCGGATTATGAAAGAGCTGCAATGCATGACCAGAATGGGGTAAGTTCTAGGCAGACTAGGAGGCTGTTCAATATTTTATCTTGCTTGCGTCACAGCCTAACTTGTTAGCGACGTCAGCCGCCAAACGTCAGTCGTCGCTGTAGGCGTTCGGCTCGCTCTACCATCTACGTCATCGCAATTTATTTAAATCATTAAAACGTTTATTGCACTTACACACACACACACACACACACACACAAACAAACAGAGGGACACACGCTATTCACGTGCCCAGTCGCTGTCTGCTTCCTGCACCCCCTATCCGGCATTTCGAATACTGTTTACAAAGATTTCTGACATTTACACATCATTGGCAAAAAGGCCGGCAATTGGGAGTGAAACCCCTTTAAAGAGAGAGAGAGAGAGTCGCAATTCCTAGGCAACCCTTTCATTGATTAGATATCCACCGATTCCAGGCACTCAAACCCAAACTACCTTGAGCAAGGTTATCGTCATCATTTGACGTCAGTTTCTCTGTTTCTCTTTTTTTTTCTGTGTCCCACACATGTGAAACATTTGTTGCATTATAGATAGTGGGAGGGGGAGGTGGTGCTGGGGCTGGGACTGGGACTGGGGCGAGTCTATTGTGTTATTAGCAAATTGGTTTTATTTGCTTTATTTGCTTGCTCGCTTCATGGACATGCAATGGTGTTTTGGATTTACGTATTTATGGCAAATTGTGGACGAACCAAAATAATAATAAAACGCCAGGCTGGCAAAAACACACGCAAGTAAATACTCCTCGAGGGCTAAGCACAGTGGTTCGGCGACTGTGTATATTTTGAGAGAGATTTGAAATATATATTTTAAAAACGATTTTAAGAAGACTTCGTTAAGAATCTGTTCTTAAGAAAACTTTTTGGAAAACTTGTTTTGAATAACATACGAAATTATATGAGTTTTCAAAAAGTTTACATTCTTTACTTCACAACAAATCTTTCCCCTTAATAAAATCTGCCTAAATAAGAGGTATTCGAATAACTTAAGAAAGACTATAAGACTTTGCAAAATTTAAACAATAAACATTTTAAGCTTCTGCCTCATTACTATGTTGACCAAAAAAAAAAAGGCGACCAATAATTAAACAAAAACTAAGTTGAAAACTATTGGTGTTCAAATTCCCGATTTGTTTATCAAATTTGGCGATTATAACATGATTGATTATCGAACTGAAAAAAGACAAATGTATTATTTTTAAGAAATATATACATTAGCAATTTCGATTCCGCATATTTTGTTCGAGTGTGGGAACACGAACCGGCTTGATTGCCCTTACCAATCAGGTTTTCCATTGAACTTTTAAATAATGATAGGAAGCGAGAGTTAAATACTGTTGATTACGAGTGTGCCTTCAAACAAGCGTTAAGGATTACACATATTTCAGATGAGTGTCGACAAAATTGTATATTTTCAGCAATTTTAAAAGATCGAATGATTACGCAATTGTCTATAGTATGTACATATGTATGTATGTACATGCATACGTGTAACGAAAAATTATCAGCACTCATAGGCTGCATGTTTATATGTCTATGAAAAGAATATACATAAATAAATCAAAAGATTACTCAATAAGTGTATAAATGTATGTACTCGAATGTAGGAGTAGTAAACCCGATATCGTGTGACGTTGTTTAAAAATGAAAATCTACATTTAGAAAGATAATCAGAATCAGGATGTAGAGATCCAATATCTGAGCACATTGGGCAATTAATCATTACCTTTTCAAGTTTTTAAAATCATATTCTTAAATCTTATGGCTTGCCAAAAAAAAAAAAAAAAAACAAAAGCCCTTGATAACGGAATGCTATAGTCATGCTAATATTTTTATGAATTTATTTGTGTGCTCGAACTACTGTGTGGGGTTGGCAGCAGTCATTAAGGCATTTCTCATATTTTCCTTACATATTTCTTTTTTATTCACCGACGTCTTTAGTGGTAGTGATGATTGGGTGGATTGTAGGCGTAAGTACGTACGCAGATAAGTATGTATGTGTGTATCTGTGTGCATACCTTCGACTTGCCGCGCATGACATTAGTCAGACCGGCCAAACAAATACATACATACATACACCCATATACATATATGTATGTAGACGTACGTATATGGATGGCTGTCTGTTTCTACGTGCCTTGAGTATTGCGATTTGCGCAAATTTCACCGTTAAATTGCGTCACAATGTAGATAATGATGAAGAGTACCAACTGTCTGTGTGGCTTTGTGTCTGTATGTGTGTGTGTGTGACGTAGGCAGCAGCATTGTTGTAGACACACACTGAACGGGGTACCGTTAGCATAAGCTGAACTGGAAAAGAAAGCCACTAATCTCTCTCTCTCTCTCTCTTTCGCAGTGGAACTGACAACGTCGTTGGCATCAATTGTTGCCTGCGCTGCAATTCTTCGGCCGCCTTCGTGATGCCGTACATGCCGCACGACCGATTCCACGATTTCTACACCAAAATGGACGTTGACGAGATCCGACTGTACATGCGAAATCTGTTGATCGCGCTGCGTCACGTCCACAAATTCAACATAATACATCGGGATGTGAAGCCGAGCAATTTCCTCTATAATCGACGTCAGGGCCAATTCTTGTTGGTCGATTTCGGACTGGCTCAGTATGTGCCGTCATCGTCGATGGAACAGAATAAAGCAGCGGCTGGAAGGTTAGCTGCGACTGCGGCTGCCACTGGAAGCTACAAACGTCCGCACGATCCGGACAGCTTAAAAATTGCGGGCGGCGATCAGGTGGCTATTGTGGAACAGCCGCCGACGAATGTGGTGGTGGAGGGCGTCAAGCGGCCGCGCCTGCTGGAGGAGGGCGCCACCAAAATGCCGCTGAAGCCCATCAATGAAAAAGCTCAGGGCACGAGGAGCGCAGACGCTCTGGAAGTCGTCAGTGCTAAGCCGAATGCGGCGGCAGAGGTGCAGGCCACACTCCAAACAGCAGCCGAGGGGCAAGCACAGCCACCCGTTCCCGCCAACAACAATCACAAATACAACACCAGTCGGAACAACGGCGGCGGCGCTACCACAAAATGCTATTGCTTCGCCAATCCGAGCGTCTGCCTCAGCTGTCTGATGAAGAAGGAAATGCATGCCTCCCGGGCCGGCACCCCCGGCTATCGTCCGCCGGAGGTGCTGCTGAAATATGCCGATCAGACCACAGCAGTCGATATTTGGGCCGCCGGCGTTATTTTTATTTCCATACTCTCACAGGTTTATCCGTTTTTCAAAGCCCCCAATGACTTTATGGCGCTGGCCGAGATCGTCACAGTATTTGGAGATCGAGCCATACGGAAAACGGCGGCCACCCTTGATCGCACCTGCACGCTCAGCCAACGAGCGCGACCGCTAAATTTGCGAAAAGTTTGCCTCCGTTTCCGCTATCGTTCCATCTTCAGCGATCCGGAAATGGTATGCAAGCACGAGACAATCAATGGCGAGTGCCAGCTTTGCCGGAATTGTGATCAGTACTTCTTCAATTGCCTCTGTGAGGACAGCGTCTATGCGGAGGAACCACTCGATCCCTACGAATGCTATCCGGCCAGCGCCTACGATCTCCTGAAGCGTCTGCTCGAAGTAAACCCGCACAATCGGATAACGGCCGAAGAAGCACTCCGACATCCCTTTTTCACCGAGGTTGAGAAAGCCACAACCACCACCAGCAACGCTACAAGGCAGCCCGGCGTGATGTCACCACGCAAGCGATCCACCTTAAACGCTGCCCACCAGCCGGCACAGTCGCCACCACTGTCGCCACGTAAACGCCACACCATGGCGGTGGCAGCACAAAAAATGCGACCACAATCCCCCGGAAATACCAAAGCAAACACGAGACCAATAACCGTAGTCGGAGTCGCTCCACAACGTCCTGTGGCCAACAAATTGTGAAAGTCTAGTCTTATCATCCAGCCATGTTTCATCCTTATAGCTGTACCTACATACATACATATATTAATAATTCGTCCTGTACATAAAAACACACACCCACATACACATCATTACTGCCCAGTTATCACCCAATGCATATCCTACGAAGGAGAAAGAGATAGAGAGAGGTGGGGAGAGAGAGAAGAGCCGCAAAATGACGATCGACGAAGTCTGAGTGAAATCCGTGAGAGAAATCCGTACAACGTGCGCAATATGTATATTATAAAAAAAATATTAATTAAATATAAAGTTTGTTTAAATTTAGAATAAAGACTTATTATGTATGCCTATCAGATGATTACTAGTTATTAGAAAACACAACCAAACCGGTTTCCGAATTCGATCAGATAAAGTGAAATCGAAATTGTCAAAACTATTAAATTAATCGAATTCAATAGCTTTTTATCAGAATTAGTATTATACTATTGTTCTACTCCATAACTCATATATATTTTGGACATGAAAACATTCACATTTCCTCCACGATTTCAAGTTATGTGAAGTCAAAATTGTTAAATTTATTCAATTAAGTTCGAATTAACTACTGAGCTATATATATATATATATGGTTTGAATTGACTTTAATGTATCTATCTATCTATCTTCCATGTGAGTTCTATTCCATAACTCAGTTTTTGCGATTCCACCGCCCACTTCTCTTCACAGAAACCATTTAACTTGTTGCCCTAACTCTTGGTTCAATATACATACATATATTAGATGTATTTATGTGCAATGTATAGTTTGAATAGACCAAAACTCCAACCAACCAACCAAGTGAAAACAATTAGCATGTTACGAGTTTATTGTACACATGCAATTGGTATACTGAAAAAAATAACAAAAGATAAAAGAGCGAGAAATCAAGCTTTGAGTGTCTTGGCTTTAATCGAATAATAATATTTTTAGAAATTGCGTTTAATTTTGAGTGGAAATATTGAATCAGTCTGGGAAAGCTGATTAAGTCTGGTTTTTATAGCCCTGAAAGGGTGAGCTTAGCTTTGAAAGAGGCATGGCAAGACCCATGTTACAGGTAAGTAAACATTTGACCTGGCGAGCCGTACAGCCATATCTCTTTCTTTCTTTCTAGCCAGCGTAGCTTATCAGCTATAGGAACAATACACCGGTCTTACAATAACTTCTTGGCTTCGAAAGCTATCTCAACTAGATATTTATGAAATCTATACAATTCTATAATATGTACTTGAATTCTAGCCGATCCGGACTAACAAAGGAATTATCGGGCTTAAAGTAGTTACTACAAAGACGCCGGAAACAAATTGGTTACTTTTGGGAATTCAATTCCATTTTCTATGTGCTAGAAAGCCTCTTATTTCGATAAACCAACCCATATCCCTAACAAGAATATTATTTCAAAAAAAAATATAGATGTTTCCTTTTCCGAATTCGATAAAATCTGACGAAATCAATTTGGATATATTTTCCAATGGGATAATTTAGGAAATTCATTTAAATTTAGACGAGTGAAACTTCCCTCAAATGTAAATAGTTATTATTCATACACACATATACTCAACGAAGTTTCGATTCCAATTATTGATATGGTAGGTTTCAATTTCAAAATTTTCTAATCAAGTCTACATCGTTTCCTCCTTTCACTCCCTAGCACTGCCACTAGCTATTTTGCCGCTTTAATTTGGCGACCTTGAGCTCTAAAAGCTTAATAGACTCCTCGTAGTTCCAGAGAACGGAGCGATATGCTCGGGCCGTACTTCGAGCTTGGCGCATGCGATCCTGTAACTCCTTTATAGCCTCTCGTAGCACCAGGACATTGCGCTCCTTCTCGAAGGCTATGTTCTCGACGTCATTTCGCTCTAACTCGCAGGTACTCGTGAGAACGTTAATACTCTGCGAACTAGGCTGGTAGTCGAAGCGCTGCAAGTTCCGGGACTGGGATACGCGATGACAAGGTAACAAGTGCAGATTTTGGTCGTTGGAATTCGCTGCATTGGCAGTGGCCGGCATATAGTCTGTGGCCGAAAACTGGGCAACGACTTGTGGCTGAACGGTTTTATGTCGCAGACTCAGGCCCGGCATAGATCTGTGGCGCGGTGGACGCTCGTCCCGCTCGTGCCGGCCTCCACCTCCAACCACGCTGCAGCACGTTTCGTTCAGTAAGCTGTCAGACGCATTTAGGTCGAGTTGCTGTTCAGCTGCCTGGCGATATTCTGAAATGTCCTGCGCCATGTCGAGGTTTTTGGGTCTAACTCGTCGTCCATTGATATCGTACTGCACCAGAGAGTTGTGATGGTTTGATCCTGTGTTGACCATCGAGAAGGACCTTTTGCGCGAGTTATAACGGTTGTACATCTTGGATTTGAAATGGGAATATCTAAACAATGTCCAACACTTTTTACAGAAAACAATTTAACAAGCCGAAATTTGTTACTAAACTTTTTTATACACGTCTGGTTGTAAGAGGTTTATGAACAGCAATGAATGCCTGAGCGAAACTGCTATCGGGCTGACATTGACTGCCAAAGTATATGTTGCTTGGTTAGAGCTTCCCAAATAAAGGTATGGTCAGACAAGCAAACAATTTGCACTCAAATTTGTCCAATTTTACAAGTTATGTAAAAAAAGAAGTATTCTATTATAAACCTACTCTGGAATTTACTTTTCCGCTTTTCAAAAATTTGTGCCCATATCATTTCCAAGTCAGACTGTAGTTAAAGTCGATTTTGTGTGTTAGTTAGGAGGCACAGCATTTATATCTTATTTACAAATAGATTTTAAAGTCCGTTTTGTGTCACTATGTTTCCATTTTTTGCGATCTTTTGCTCTGTTTTGTCGACGTCGTGGGTTGTTCATCATTGGTATTGCTATCTTCTGGTACTTCCTCGATTTTAATGCGTTTGCCAGCCGACACTTCCTCCTTGGATGGTTGCGTTTCCATCACACGCTTCTTGGGCTTCTGGAAGCTGCCACGTCCAGCAGCACGCTCCGACTCCTCAATGCTGTAAGGCTCCGTTTCGAGCGCCTTCAAACGACGCTTGTGTACTTTGGTACGAAAGTGCGCTTGCATGGCCGTGTCATCGATGAAGTACTTGGCGCAGTGTACACAATAGAACTGTGCAAAACCTGGTTTTTCCAAATCGACGCTCTGATTGATCAGTTCGCCGCTCCGGGTGCGGAGGTCGTCATCGATTTGGTCGAGATCGCGCCGGCGGTTGCGTACGCGCCAGCGACGCTGTAGATGCGTGTCGCCATAATGCATCTTCTTACGCCTTTGACACATGCCCATCCTGAATTATTGCTGCTTGAACGTTAAAAAAGAAATTTTCCGTCTGATACCACCGTTGTTGCACGTGTTTTGGTTTTTTCTCCTGTTTTGCGTTGCCAGCAAAGTGCAATGCAAAAGATTCAGCTAAGGCCAAGTGAATATATCAACAAAGATTTCAATATTAAAGTAAATGTAGTTATTTGGGAAATGCAGAAAACCCACCTGTGGCAAATAATAACAAGAAAAACTATCAACTGCGTATAAAACACTGCTGGGCATGTGCTAGAGATGTACTTTTTTTGGTCGTGAGCTGTCATGAAAGTTGCCAGACTGTCAACATTTTTACGATATCAAGTGGATGTACACTTATTATTATTATTAACTAACTAGTCAAGAACTTAATTCATTGTTATTCAAAATATTTGCATTCTTAAAAGAAATATGAAGCTCCATGCCGCAGCGATAAATAAAATTGTGCGATTTATCGATTGCTCTTACACCCCTATGCCCATAGTAAATCGCGGTTTTGCATATAAAACATATGTTCGCAAATTGATACAACATTCACTCGTGCGATCAAGTTGTCTGCGGGCGGACTTCGTGCGTTTTCTAGTTTTATCAGCACGGCAAGAAGAAGTAAATAACCGAAATTATAAGATAAATATATAAACAACAGCGCAATATGAAGGCTACTAATTGGTGTGGATCAGCATGTCTATGTGATTGAGTAACAATTAAACCTTCTAGGCAGGACCCCAGTGAAGTAATATTTAACAGACATAAACGAACTTCAAGTGCTGTGTTGCCATAACCAGTTGTGGTGGAGGGGGCGTTTGGCTGCCAGATAGATATGCATACTAGAAAATTATATTTTCACAAGTGTGCAAGCATAATATTCTAATTTGTTGATTTTACAATGTCTGCTGAGCCATTCACTATATAGCTGTGCATGTGCCTGGATTGCTTACTACGAGATAGATGAACTCTTTTACATAACTGATATCCTGCGATATTAATGGGAGCACTTTTATTCACATATGTGTGTACATATGTGGTATCCAACTTGTAGCATTCCAATGCATTTATTATCTGCCATTTAATCGCCCTTCCCACTGCCACTACCTATTTAGCTGAATGCAAAAACCGGCAAGCATAAAAAATTAAATGATAAAAGCTCTTGTCTCGGGTGTGTGTGTGTGTGTGTGCATTTGTGCGAGCTGGTTTAATGGAATAATAACAAAACAAAAACAAAACAACAGCTCATTGCAATACAATGTATAAAAGCAGTGATTATAAGCTCGCGGGCCCCAACTACGATACGAATAAAAGTTTTTTTTCCACAACAATTGTGCGCTCCACAGTCGTTGTTGTAGTTGGTTATTTATTTATTGTTGATTTTGTTTTAGCTACACATTCCGCTTAAGTTTTATATGTATAATTCGCGAATAAATACATATGTATGTACATCGCCTGCATTCTCAAATACAATAACGTTCGCGTCGTCTGATCGCACCAGCTCTCAAAATCAGTTCAGTAAGTATATTTTTTTTATTGTGTTGTATTGTATGTATGTGCGCAACCACAACTATAATATTTAATTTAACACGTAAATTCAGTTCACTATATTGCGGATTAAGTTCAGGAGATATCAAAATAACTTATTAGAGCACTTAAAGGAACTAAGCACAGTTCAGTAGTTCCTTTTAAATATTGGAACTAGTTTGTACCATACCGACCAACACACATGTGTATGTACTTGTGTAGTTTTGCCGTTACCTCTGCCATACATACATATGTACATACATACCTACACCTTTATCAACTATCGAAGAACGTTTCTGCACGCTGATTACTAGCGGCGTTTGTGGCTAATCAGTTGATTCGCCCATTTAACAGTTTAACTTTGTAGATACAACATTAATCGTGCATACATACATATATACATTTGTACATATTATGTCAACATATACAAATGTGCATGCATATGTATGTATGAATGTTGTATATTCACGCACGTACGCATGTTACGTGTGTGTGTTTACTTTATTTATATCTTTTGTGATCGATTTTCGAAATTAGACTGCTGCACGCGTCGCATTTGCAATTGTCTGCTGCGAGAGCAGTGCCATATGATGTAACAGCAACTGCAGATCGCGACTGTGATCGAAAGAGAGCGACATACTCTCAATAAAGGCATTCCGTTATTTCTACTAACCAACGGACTAAGCATTTTGCAACAATTTAACATTTAAACTACATATGTATGTATGTACGTACCCACATAAAATGTACTTCTAAATGATCGCGAGTTCGTTGCCACTGCCAACATTTGTTAACTCTGCATTTGTCTGAGGGGTGTCTGTTCCGTTTACGAATAATTTACGTTGCATTGTGTGTGTGTCACCTGCACACTTTTCAGCCAGCCTCAAATACCGTTATATTTATTCATATGGATGGGTATGCACACATGTTTGTATGAGTGCCTATATACATTGCAAACTTGAAGTTTGAAACGCTGCTTCGTATTTATTTGTTTATTATTGCTGCACTTTGTAAATAAAACAGTTTCAATTGATTTAAATTCTGCTGAAGGCCTTCCATTTTATGAGTTTCGTGCTTTCTTTTTGCAGTCATCCTTGCACTCAGTCGTCATCGATATGGAATTCCGTTAGCATGCTGTTATCGATTGTAATATCTGCATAAAATAAAAGCAACTAAAGAATTCAATAAATAGCCACAAAATGTCATTCTGCAATATACAATTACATATGTACACCTGCAAACAATTGTGTGCATGTAGATATGTATGTTTGTGAATAGTTGTTAATGCAACTACATATTTATGTATTTGAAATCGAAAGTGTTGTGTGAGCTGAAAAGCAAGAAAACCGGTCGAACCACCAATTTATTGCAAAACCCAAATGCTGGGTTCGATTGCTGCTGCTGTTGTCCCATATTCATTTGCGTGTTGTTGTGAAATCCTATGCCAATAATTGAAAGAGATGAAGTTGAAACCCAAAAACCTATTGCAAAATATGTTAGCACTATAATTGAACTATTATGGGGGCCAAAACCATTTTTTTTGTTGGTTTATTGCAACTTTGCCCAATTTTACTTTCAATTTGTTGTTGTTTGCGACAATATAAAAATGAATGTGTATTGTGAATAGGTTAAACTTAGTATATTTATGCTAAGGCATAATTTATTGCTAAGCTTTAATATTGACAATAACAATATGCGTGTCTAGGGCTCTAACCGTTCATTTTCCACGCCCTTTCATTTTTTCGTTGTTCCACAACCAGTTTGGTCGCTCCATTCAAGTCTAAATATTTATCTAATGCTGCGAGTAAGTTTCATTTTAAAAATTATATGGAAATATATAATGAGCTTGTTGTGCTGTTGACAGGTGGGGAAAAATCTTAAGAAACAAACATGCATTGCGTTTTAATTAAAATAAAAGCAATTACAACGGGAAATACCAAAGTGTTGTTTATTTGTGTCGACAAGCCCTATTTGTCGGTGTAAAGAAACCATTAAAAACAAACTTCTAGGGTAGAAAGTAATAATAATTAGGTCCATAAAATTTAAATGCCAAACAACGATTAGCAATTTTATAATCATAAACATTTAAAAGCATTTAAATACAATGAACTAAAGATACTTCAAAAAAGAAAATCAATTGAATATAACAAAGGAAATTATAAATAAACACATTAATGATCCGACTATTCAAAAGAACATATCATTTTTGCTGTAGCTCTACAAACAATATCCCCAAGCAGAGATCCATTTCCCAGCCAACTTATCTCAAAGATACTTGTAGTTTTAAAATTATTAGCTCTGCCAAGGCTATGGGAAGTATCATGATTTTGCCAAAATTGCACGAACAACCTAAGTATCGACCAATTACAAATATACAAGCTGAAGAAGGTTGAAATTTTGTTAAGGCCAGTTGACTAAACTCGTATCGTATAGCTGCCATAGAAGTGATTGGTATAACAAAGTTTATTTTAGTTCAAAAGTTGTTGCGGGAAGTAGGGCAGGCGTACAGGGTATTCAAGAACCGAACTGGCCCTACTTTAACGCTTTAACGATTCTTTTTTTCATGCTTAAGTTTGGATTGCAAATAGTTGCCATTCCTCTCAAGACCTTGAACATGCGTGCTATTTTTAGGAAAGTGTGTATGGACAAGAAATATGCATATTTCTTTATATCTTTATGCAGACCGCAAGTGTCTTTTGATTGTGCAAGAATTGGAATGGAAGTCATATCGCCTGACCGCAGCTAATACCGCACATTTTACATATTGAAGGGTAGACAAATAAGTACATACTCGTATAGGTATATAGTATGTATGTTGTGTGTCGCAGATTTGTGCTTTCCTATCTCTTTGGCGCAATCGTAATTCTAGTTGGGAAATTACACATGTCTGAGGTTTCTTTGTTGCCTTGATGAAATGATCATTAAATGCAAAAATGGGGCTTAACCCAGGGTTGAAGTGTTATTTCTTTTTTGTATAAAGACAGTGGACAGCAAATCTGATTGCTGTTCAGTTTCCAAAGTTGGCATTTAACAAATATTTGGATGCATGCCAAAGCATTAAAAAAACTATCGCAACGAGAGGTTAGAACTGGTTTCCTATTTATCTCTTCGCTGCTACTTATTGTTGATGCCGAGCTGTTCCTCATTGGTCTGGTCTGAGCCAAATGGTGATATGGCACGAACTGGCGATCGAGTGTGAGTGACCGTTGCACAGTGATAAAAATTTGTTTTTCATTGTCCACAAATTTTGTTTATTTAAAAATGTGCAATGTTATCGTTGGATTACAATCAGATTTATAATTTGATCGACATTTCTAGTTTAATCAGATCTTTTTATTTGGAACGCATAATTTTGTAAACTTTTCGCAATTTTCTATAAAGTTCAACACTCTCTCAAGTGTTCAACGTTATCTGTAACAAAGGCTTATTGCAACCAAAATTATAAAAGACATTCTAGCATCGCCCGAATGTACAAGTACATAGATAAGACATTCTTGGTGAGTATGGCAAGACGAGTGGATATAGCCATGTCCGGTTTTACGATTATTTATGCAAGGATCGCCGAAAGTATAAGAGCTAGAATAACCAAACTTTGCATTAAAGATCTCCTAAGTCCGAAAAATGTTTGGGCTTTTTTCCAAAGATAGAACAGATACAGAGAAGTTAAGAGGAAATGGTTTATTTCTTTCGCGCTTCAACATTTTTGCTTCTTTTGCTATTGCCACTCAGTTCTTACGCCCAAATAGAATAAATAGTATGAATATTTCTTTCTTTCTAGTCGTCACAGAAACTACTGCTGATGTGCAACTTTGTGGAATGTTGAGAGCGTGATTGAAGATATAAATAAACATGTTTAGAAATGTTGGCTTTTCATTGGGCTTACTATTCTAATGTTTGGAACGAACTTAAATTTTAACTAATGGTTTTATCTGCCGGAACCACTGTTCCGTGTTGGTATAAACGACTGTTTGTTGCCTAGGTGGAGCAGCAATGCTCAACATACTGGTTTTGCACAAGTTGCTTGCCTTTTTCACTTTTTAATAAGGCTAATTATACATACACATACATACATACATACATACATACATATAGTATATATGTATGTACGTAAAAAAATGTTATACAAGTTTCAATACTTTGTTTGCGCAGTCTTTTACCCCCTCGATGGGTCAACTGCCTGAAGTTGCCAGCCATTTGTTCATGTGGTTTGATATTTTACATTGTCCGAAAAGGTTGTGTATTCCGACCTATTTATAGGTACATGAAGTAAATAAACACTTTCTTTGAATCTGAAATAGGCTTCATATAAAAACATCTGAGATACAAGCATGGCTTCAATAGTCTTCAAGATTTAGGGGTTCACACAGTCAAACACTCCATAGCTCAGTAAAATGTTATCTATGGGATTTTGCGATCCATAACTTCTGCGCCAACTGATAAATTTTTAACATTATATGATTTTATTTTTACAAATCATATCCAACATCGCCCAAAACGCTTTCATTTACTCATTCTTAGGGAATATAGATTTAAGGATGATATTCAAAAAAAAGCTGCACATACTTACAAACCACTTTGAGGAATGCACAAGCGACATTTTGTATTTGCATCTTTAAAAGTCTTAGAGATTGAGTTGCTCAGATAATCAAACACAGAGCTCTTGGCTTATCTTCTTTAACCTTGAACTTGTTGACTCCTATCATGGAATCTCCGAATCTAAGTCAATTATGATAATATGGTTGCCACATTATATATTTTTGTATTTAGTTAAACAGAGACTTAAATGGATTATGAAACAAACTATAAATATAAAGTCCTTATATCATATATTGTAACTCTCTCTTCAACAGACTTTCTGATAAAGATGTTCAGACATTCAAACATTGCATGCTTGCAAACATGTACTTGTACGCATATACATATTTATGTACATACAAAGTTTGAAACAAATGGGATCTACTATTGCTCAAAAGGCTATTCGCTCTCAAGAGGGACTAGTTTACAAGCTTCATATGGCAACCCGTTTGAGAAATGTTCATATCATATATTGTAGATCTACTATGTATCTCCAAAACTCCCGGCATTTAAGACGTTCAGACATTGAAACATGCTGATTTAAGGTCTTCTGCGATCTTCATTTTGGACCTCCGAATCTGAATCGTATTTGTTTGCAAAAATCTCAAAGCGCCTAAATTTTATTTAATTAATAGCTCCCATATATGCATATATGTATGTTTGTGTGATAGGCCACGAAATATGTACATGCGTGTGTTTTGTGTGCGGTCTAACATTTCTTCCTACGTGCCAGAGCCCGTTGATTGCTTGTAAATATATCGCAGCACCTCACACCCGGCCTCTTACAGTACCTTATCATTATTTGCTTGGCTTTGGCTGTTTCTTGATATCAACAGAATATGAAAAAAAAATAATAAAAAATGCGGTGAACCGCACCACACAGTCGGCATCCACAACAATAGCAACAAAGAAAAACAAAAGTCTGCATAGCGTTCGAGGCGAGCTCATATCTCTCTCTGTCTCTCTATTTCGCTCTCTTCCTCTGTCCGTGCTCTGTAACGGCATTTACAACGACCTGACAAATGTTTGGCACTATATGTATTTTGGATTTCATTTCTCTCGTTGCAGACACTTGAAGGCGCTGTCTGTGGCAAGTCACGAGTCACCAGTCAGTCCCCAACGGTTACCAGTAAGCAGCCAACCACTAGGCACCACCAACGATTTGCGGTAAGTTGCGCGCCATTAACATTAATTCCCAAGACGTACTTAAGTCAGTGTGTCGTGGGAACTCTTCCGAGTTTGTCGTTCCATTCAAAACAACTTGGAAATAAAAAGACAAAATGATAGTGACGGTTTCCGGCCTCCATAACTCTACATTACTAGCTTCATTGAAGACATTCTATTGCCAGAGAACACAACAAGTTGGAGATAAGATGTATGTAGAATACAAAACCCAGCTCCTGTCATCTTTCTACTTTTGAAACGCAACTCATAATCAGTTGAAGACAGTGAAGGACAATTGCCCTTTGAAAAGAATTAGGATACGAACTGCCTTCTTTTCTTGTCTCCCCTCTCAGCTCAGTGTTCGAATTTAAAAAATGCTCCCTCCTTCTCATCGAAAATAAAGTTCCTATCCTTTTTAGAGCCCCTAAAAGCTAAAAGAGACATCATAATGAATTGAATTACCAATTCCCGCCAAAGACAAGAAAAGATTCTTGTCTCCTCTCTCAGCTCACTGTTAGACTTTGACTGACTCTGACTGCTTCTCATTGAAGCTAAAGTTCCTATAGATAAGAAGTTTGTTATTCTTCTGGTGCCGTTATAAGCTAAGAGAGAAAACATAATGAATTGAATTCCCAATTGAATTTAAATGTCCGCCTTTGGGCCTCCTGTAATGGACACCGTTCCTGCCTTTTTTGTCAACCTTATCTTTCACATTCTTTTCATTCTCATAACCCTTTGTATGTCCCCTTAATAAGAGCTGCACCTGTCTTCTTTGCCAGCCTACTCTCTCGTTGTACTATATATTTTCACGGCTTAGTCATATGTACATGCAACACTTAAATCAATGGAGTTCCCTATGTGAAAATGCGAAATGTGTGGCATTAGAATCGTGTTTTTCGTTTTTGTCTATTTCTAAAGTATTTATATAGCTATGTCGAAACTTAATGAATTGAATACACAATTCCTCATCGGAAATATGTCTTCAATGTTGATGTGGCTTTTGGGAACTCTTGAGTCCTGAAACCCTTTTTTTTTTTGCTTTCTTAGCCAACCTTTCTTCTCTCTCTGGCAGTCTGTCAGCTTATAAATATTCGTATGTACTTTAATTCCGAGGCTTAAATCCACTACACAGTTTAAAATGTTCATTTCTGGCACAGTTTCTACAATTGCTTTGCCTTCTGTCTCTCAACTTAACGTAATATCATAATCAATTAAATTCCCCATTCAAAACCGACAATGTTCGAAGCACATAGTGCGAACATTCTGCGAATTCCTTTGTTCCTTACACGCGCCCACCCAACCCAACACCACACCACCTTTCCGTAAAGTCACGCACAAGTATGCCAGCAATTTCATTTGAATTCTGTATTGTGCCTTCTGGTCTTGGCCCAGCAACGTGACCTTCAAGCTGAAGCTGAAATCGCTTGGCTTGGTTTGGCGCGAAAGTGGGCGCATACGCAACTGGTTGGATAGTAACAGGGGCAGGGCTCCACATTGTGGTATTGTAGCACAAACAGCGTTCATGTCGATAGAGCTAGATACCACCTCTGTGGATAAATCAGCGCTCTGACCCAATTGTTAGTGGCAGGTGAAAGGTGCCTTTCATTGTTTGGCTATTTTGGAGGTTTGCTTTCTCGTGCAATTGATCGACTGTTGCTTTTATTTTTAATTACAATTTCATTTGAATTTCACCGAAACAGGCCAACCACAATAACTGAACGACATCGCCGGGAACTCAAAAATGGACCACGCACACCATACTGTACCTAATGTCGGTGAGTAATTCAGCAGATCACCCTACGGGTGCTTCGGAAAAGCGAACTTTCTAAATATGTTGCGTACTTTCAGACCATTCCATGCATCACGATCACGATCACAGTGCCGTGGGTACGACGTTACCCACAACGGTCAGTCCGTTAGCGGCACCCGCTTCCCATGGTGATATGGGAATGCATGCAGGACACCACCACATGGGCGGCGGCACAGGCACTGGCATGGAGCACATGATGTCGATGGCTGTAAGAATAGAGGAGGAACTGATCGCTCTATAGGGTTCTATTCTGACTTCTCTTCGATCATTGCAGTTCCATTTTGGCTACAATGAGACGATTCTGTTCTCCTGGTGGCACATCGAGACTGTGGGCGGCCTGATAGGCTCCATGATTGCCATCTTTTTGTTGGCGCTGCTCTACGAGGGCCTCAAATACTATCGCGAGTATCTGTTCTGGAAGACGTATAACCTGCTGGAGTACAGACCCGTTACGGGACCACAACGCAATCCGGAGGCACCACGGATACCCCAACCCGCGGCTGCGGCCGCCTCTCCAGTACAGTGAGTATTTAGGGGTCCATGCATGCTGCCACCATTGTGTTGTAATTCGTTTTTGGTTCCTACACTCGCTCTATCTCTCTCTCCCTCTTGTTTTGTAAATATTAATCATAATGCTTTCTTCTTCTTTCTCGTTTTCGTTGCCGTTCTTGTATCTTGTTGTGTATTATTCACCAACAACCGCTTTCGCTCTCCGCCATCATCTGTACAATAAATGCGGCGTCCATGTAAAATAAAATCCATCAACCAAACCATCCATGAAACCACCAATCAAACCACATGTAAAAAATACAAATCACCATTTTTAAATATTTGCGATTATGATTATTATGCTGAACAACCGATCGACAATGATCACTAATATCTATAACGATTGACTGTATCTGTATCTATATATTCATTTTTTGTGCCACACACTTCAACCGCTCCCTTAGATACGTTGGCGAGGTTGTGCACAAACAACCGTAAGTACTTAGTCTGTAATCCTGTAATCCTCCTATTCGTACCTATTATAAGCTCTCTCTCTCTCTCTCCAATTACACAATCACACTTTTAAGTTAAGTTAAATGTAATCTGTTATCCACACACACACCTGCACTGTCCGAGACGCTCCATTTGAATTCGTGCAATCCCATTTGGTCGGATGGCCTCTAATTGAGTGTGGAATTGGATATTGTGTTGGCTGGTTTCTATTTTTTGGTTAATTAGATGCCATATCGCTGGCGACTTCCGTTATCACTGATGCCTAAAATATTCGTTGACTAATCAAATAGAACCTGTAGTGATTTATTCCGCAATCTAAAATTATTTAATAACAACTGTACAGTTTATTAAGAAAAATCCAACTAACGGCTCCGATTTCGTTTATGCAAATCACTGAATCTGCAAAAATTTAAATCATGGCTATTAGTTGGGAAAACAACACTTGTAAGATATCACAGATTGTATCAACGTAGTATCCTCTTTACTCTGAATAACGTCCTCAAAATTGAAGATATGTTTTCGTTTCTGAATACAGAATCTAATTGGTTAAATGTTTTAAATTTCCGAAAATTTTCAGATATTCGGTTTTAGAACGTATGTAAGCTGTGTTCCGAGTTTTGAGCTCGGAAACAATTCTTTTGCCTAGGGAGAGTTGAAACTGTAGTACTAATCTTGTAAGAATCCTTATGTATATAGCTACATATATAACACACACATGTCTATGTATAGAGGTACTTCAAGAAAGACTCAATAGTAAAATAAACTCTAGACTTTATAGTATGGAATGTAACTAAATAGAAAGTCTATAGACTATATAGTAAGAAGTGTAACTAACGACAGTCAAATCCAATTATGAAAGTAAAGTAAAAACAATTTAACAATAATACCAACTATAGAATTTAAGGAAAGTAAAACTAAGTGATTAATTTTTTAAATATTTTTTCAATAGGTTTAATTATTTCCTTTTCATTTTACATTTAAATTCAGTTTTTTTTTTTGTTAGCTCTTTTTGTAGTAAATCCCAAAGAAATTTGCCGAACATAGCTTAAGACAAAGTTAAAGAACCAACTTAGGCATGCAGCTGAGCTAAAAGTGTAAACTAAACCGAAATAACCATATTTCAAACCATATAATTATTTGAATTTCGATTAAAATTAAATTGAAGGAAGTTGGCTTCTAAGGACAACGTTTTTAATGGTAATGCCATTTTAGGAACTCTTAGAATCTCACATAAATCTAATAAGCGTGTATTTGTAAAGAAACTTCTTTTAAAATCACCGTATAACGCACTAATTATTTGAATTTCGATTAAAATTAAATTGAAGGCAGTTTTCTTTTTCACTGTTTTCAAGAACAACGTTTTTAATTGTACTTCCATTTTCAGAACTCTTAGAATCTCACATAAATCTAATAAAAGTGTATAACGAACACTGTTTGGTATCAAAATCTCCAACTGCGCATGAAATGGCTGGCAAAACACACATTACAGCCGAGATTTGTTGTTACGTTGTTATTTTCTTCTTAATTTGATTGATGTTTTTAGTTATTAAATTTAAATTTCAGCCTGCGTTTTTAATTCTGTATGTGTTTTATATATATATACTATATAGTTATATTTATTAGAGTTAAAATTGAAATATGTTTTTGGCGCTCTTTCCATCGCAGACCATCAATGTTGTCGGTGAATCACATCTGCCAGACACTGCTCCACTTGCTCCAAGTAACGCTCTCCTTCCTGCTGATGCTGATCTTCATGACCTATAATGTGTGGCTCTGCCTGATGGTCATACTGGGTGCGGCCGTCGGTTACTTTTTGTTCTGCTGGAAGAAATCCGTTATTGTGGATGTCACCGAACACTGTCACTAGCACAGTGCCATCGATGAGGCGGCCGTCTCTAGCCAGAGCTGTCTCATGACAGCGCCCCTGGCGCCGGCGAACGAATGAAGAGGAGATCCACAAGGAGGAGAGGATGAGGAGGACTTCCAGCGACTTCCAGTAAGGTGGCCATGTTCTCTGTGCTAAATGCCTGAATTGTCGAAATATCAACACACCCACACACACAAACACAATACATGCATATACTTTATACACACACACACACACACACACATTTATATATATCACAAACAAAAAAGAACACAACTCTCCTAATTTTAGATATTAGCATATTTTTACAATATACAAATACGATCAACTGTGAATTTTTCAAGAAAAAAAAAGAAAGGGCAAGCAACAATTATTGTGAAACAGAGTAGGGCATTATATTTCTCTTCTTTTTTTAACCAACACATAAAAACTTCGAAGCTTAACGTGCAAAGAACAAATGCTTTCCCGGCGCTACCATCCCTGCCAACAGACAATTTACAACTACACCCATACTCCCAGATTCAGGAAAATGTTTGAATTTATGAACCCAGCCATATCCCATCATATTTGTAAAATACATATATAATAAGACCTGTTCCCGCTAGCGGTATTTGGCCAATTTGCACAAAATGAGAAATCGATTAATTTGCTTAAATAATTGGATCGAATTCGAAAACGGAATTAGGCCTTGCCCACGCATTGCCCAAGTCTTAAAATTGCAATCAAATTTCTGGAAATTTTTTATTTTGTTTTCCAATTTGTACAAAAGAAAAAGAAACTGCTATTGAATTCGATAAATTGAATCCATTACGATAAATTGTATCGAATTCGATAACGCGAACAGGCCTGAATACCTATTTGTTGAAAGAGCGATATAAAAGATTGTATATAAGTTTTTAGATAAATAACTAACACTATTTTTTTTTTGTCTAAATTTAGGGAACAAACGCTCGTTGTCATTTGCTCAATATCGATTTATCATCTATATATATATTGTTAAAGCAATGCTGAAGATTTAGTGTTAGAACTGGTTTATTATATTTGTTTCCACTTCTCTCCCCTACCTCTTACTATCCACAATATTTTTGAATCACTCATGTTTTTTGTTAATCAAATTTGTACTATATATTCACAGATATATTAAGTATATTTTCAATAGTGCCTGTCACATGTCACAGACTTTATGTTATTACCGTTTTTCAACATTTACAAGCGAGTGGAAAATTGATTTTAAAATAATTTTTGTTAAAATTTCACCAAAATGATATAAAAAGATAATGTTGTAGATATTAAAATACAGTAAATAGCAACGATACATTTATACAAAAATTACGTATACCTATACACTAAACAATAAATATATATATATATACAAATTGTTAAAAAAAAAACATCTGTACTATCGGACTTTCAATCTCACTTGAAACATACTTTTTTCTTTATTTTAATGCGTGGATGGTACCCTGCCAGGTCCAGTATCATTATCATCACATCAGATCTGTTAATAGTCGCGTTTTTGGTCTGAACATCTCCCAGATTTATATACTAGTGTTCAAATTCCACCCATAAAAAAACGCCTTGTAATATACTTTTTATTCAATTTTTTTATATATTTTTTTGTATTATTTTTATTAAAAATGTTTTGCGAGTCTCAGCAGATACTTATAATTCATATTTTTATAATTTAAAAACAATTTTACATGACTACATTATTTGCTGGGTTTCTTCTTTTTGTTTAAATTACTGCACTAAACCAAGTTGTAATATTATTATTATTATTATTATGTATGCAAACAATAGGGAATCGAGAAACATACGGCATGGCCACAGTACGATGATATCCTTCACAAACCTTTCGAAAGACAAACCTCTAGTTGCATGTAGGGGAATTTTTATAAACTTCAAAAAAAAAAAAGAACCTCAGACCGGCTACCATTTCCGCATACGGAATTCGAATCGCGCGGCATCGTAATTGATACATTTTTCAAATCTCGTACAAAGTTGAAGTTATTCGGCTTAAGAAGTGGAGTGCGTAGACTAGAGCTCTTTAATCCGAATTGCTAAATTGCTTTTGAAATCATATCCGCTAATTTTGAACGAACGCGGAAACGGAACAGGCCTGTATGTTGAGCTGGTCCCCGAAAAGGTAAGAGCATGATTTTAGAAGAACACATTATAACGCATGTGTCTCCCCATTGCCAATTTTGGGTGCACGCTTCTAAAATATATGTCGGGGTATTTCGGTGGTTTTGAGGAATACAAATTGCTTGCGTGTGGTGTTTGTGAAGGATACATTCAAGAAAAGGCAGTCGAAACAAAATGTGACAATAATGATTTTATTCAAACTTTGAACGAAGAAGGTATTAAGATGGATATATTCAGAGAGAGAGTGGGTGATGGATAGAGAAAACGAAGGAGACATATGTGAATAATATCGATAGTAATTCACCTCGTATTTCGTGCTAAGTACGTTTTCACATACAAATCGTTGTATGTATGTATTGGAGGAGTTGTGGTTCGGTTTTTTAATCCTGAACCACAGTGTAGACATCAACGGGCGCGCCATCTTTGTCTGTCATGAAGAGAAATTACTGTGCATAGAAGTTACCTGGTTCTTCTGTTCAATCGAGGTCGCTTCACATACACATCATTACTTTATGTGTGTGTATGTTTAAAACTTTGGTCCGCGTCGCAGCCTTGCTGTAAAGTTTGAGAAAAAGAATGAATGGAATCAGCGCTTTAAAAAGGACTCTCCTCAGTTCACAATAATACGTACATATGTAATCATTAAAGACCCCCTTCCCATCCCATACTCAACAACAAATGAACGGAAAATATAACCTCGGATTGGATTGTCAACGAAGTCATACGCAATCTACATGGGTTCATTAGCGAATGTTTTGACTAACAAATTGAAATATGTATGTTTATGGAATTTAATAGAGCCTGAACCCACAATTCATTCCCTGTTTAGAACCTACATTTTTCTGTTGTTGGGTATCTGTTGTCTGCCCTTAAACTAGTTTACTAATCTTAATATGTATGTATATATAATGGTTCGATAAGTCTTTACAGAAAAGTATAGAAACACGAAATTGATTCTTCAGTTGCTATTACGGAGATAGCCTTCTCGTTCGAGGCGAATGCTTATTCGGGTGGAAGAGCACTTCTTTTCTTTGTTTTGGTTGTTCATTTGATCTAAAACTTGTGCCTAATGCTACCCACTTATCATTTAAGCTCTATGTAAGATAAGCGTTCTGTGCGTTCCGTCAACATTTTCAACACGTTTATCCAATTCGAAGCATGATTTAAAAGAATCGGCTCTAATATCACTCACTATCTTGTCTTTCAGATACAAGTTTCCATTCACAGCACGAAACTTATTTTGTATCTGAATTTTTTTAAAGTGAATTATTTCTATCGATTGTGTTATCGGCAACTCACTATGAATATATATAAAGCTTTCTAACTAATCTTCTTGATTTTGTAAAGACTTATTGAACCATTCTCGTAATATCATTGTATATTGCGAAGACGAACGAAAAATAGTGATGATTATGAAATCTTAAGAAATTAAAATATTTAGATTCCCCGAACGGAACTTCTTGGTATTTAAAATCACAGTTAATTGTGCCGATATATGATTAAACTATTCTATTATAATGCTCTCAACTCTACAGCATCCAGAGCGATTGGTTAAGTTTTTATATAAATTTACCTGTTGTGGGATATATATTTGTATATATACATATATGCACAGATTGTTGGTAGTATATATATCACTAAGGGCTAGATTGTTGTGGTTGTGTAGTCTCTCACTCTCTTCGTTTTTTTCTAGTTATTGGATAGTGTTTTTTTTTTCGATTCAACATGGACGTTGTTAAAATAAATAAATTTCTTGTTTGGTTTTGGTTTTTTAGTTTTTCAATTACCTCTTGACTGGCTCAATTGCTCGATTACGTGGCTGCCATTATGCGTTATGCTTGTTCTATATGTGTGGTTGTAGTTTGAGATCGTCTAACGTGTCTTAAGGGCTTGCTGGCCCTCAACTGTATGTATGTTCTCACAAACAATGTGTGTATCAGATGTTTCGACTCGACTATGTTTAGTATGTATATAAACAGATGTCGAAGCTGCTTAATCAGCACATTCATTAATTTTATTATATACACGAGAGTACAACAACAATAAACAAGAACAAAAACGTATTCGGCATGCCGAAGCTTTCCCATAATCTTTCCACAGAAAAAACATATTGATATAAACTTCCAACTAAAAAAACAAATGGTAAGAAGAATTTGTGTAATTTCAAGTAACTATCTTTGAATTTAAGTGGAAGCATCATTGAATTTTTAAGACTATCGATCATGTCAATGTTTTTATCATTCGATTTTGGAAACTATCGATAGCTCTTATAGCAATTATCAATGGATATAAAGAGCTGCAAAATTATCGATGGTCGATTTATCAATGGCTATAGTTGAATTTAGACGACGATCGATAGTGCTGACAGTAAATAAAATAATTGATCAATTCTAGACCAACGAATTAATAAAAATCAATCAATTTCAACGAACTTAATAATTAATTTTAAAATATATCATTAATGCATCGACAATTTCGCAGCTCTGTTGAAAAGCCCCTTAAAGGAAACTTGATTTATACGAACAATATGATTTGACATATCGGAAGAAAGAAAAATGATATGCATATGTAACGTTTTCTATTTTTCTTGGAAAGAATATGGTTTAATTGTTAGCAAAATGTACCTGGGTTTTTGATATCTGAGAAACCAGTTTATGGGGTGTGGGATGTATGTGTGTGTGGGTGTCTGAGTGGTGTCTGTTTTAAAGAATATTTTTCTTAAATTCAAGAGAGAGGATTACGTACCTCTGGGCGCATTGGCAATACAACACTTTTCGCTCTTGGAAAGTGAAGTTAAGCGTGAGGAGTGGTGGTGGGGAGATAACAATTAGAAAGCCTCTGTCGAAGGAGCGACTTTCATGATTGTAGCCCAAGAGAGAGCATCGGCAGCATTCCCATGCATATCAATATTGTATGTGTCTGTGATTTTGTGTGTGTGCGTGTGTGTCAGGTTATAATGTTTCGTTTTAGACTAATTAAAACTGCATGGTAAATACCTGGAATGATTGATCCCGAAGCAACCCACGACACGTTTTTCAAAGTACTCCCTCTCTTTCATTTAAATCATTTAATCGTTTGTTTGTTTGTTTGGCTGACTCACTAGAAAATATGCATAAGCAGCAAGAGAGAGATATAGAGAAAGAGAGAGAGTGAGAGAACAAAATAATAATACCGATACTTTCTACTATGGTAACTGTGAAGCGATTGCCGCAGCATCAAACTAACCTGTCGCTTTCGCAGCCGTCGCACCACCTGCTATGTGAATGTTTCCCTATATATAAAAAAAAACGTACACAAACAGCTGATATAATACTGTATATACGTATATACATAGTACTATCGATTCCTATAACTGTAGCTACCATTGTCTTGGGTTTAAAGTTTGGTTATGTGGCATTATTGTTATCACAAATTAAGCGTAAGACAAGGGGAATTGTAAGTCTCTTTACGAAAGGCTGATTAACTGCTTAAAGATGAAAAATTTACAATATATAATTATAAAGTTGCATAAGTAAAGACTGAAGAGTATTTTAAATTATTCTTAGTTACAACTAGTTGGATTTAGTTTATAACGAGACTTAAATATAGCTTTTTAATAGTGTTTAATGCTATAAAGTAAATGGTCAGTTTTTAAAAGAGCTTTAAAGGCTTTGAAGCTTGGTTACATATTAGGGACGAAATATTGAATATCATTAATGCGACTTAAAGATGAAAGCAGTTCCTAATTCCTTAAAGAGTGCAGCTTTTGAATAGTGTTAGTGGCCTATGTAGAGCATTCGAAATTTGTCTTTGCTATAAAAATTACCGCAAAATGCTGCTTAAATATGAACACCCTTTAATCGAGTGCGTTTCCTTTTGGTGCCAAGTATTTTAAATTATTATTCTCTTAAGATTAAATGTTAAATCAAATTAAATTTTGACACCATCATATGTCCTTGTACAATAAATAATACTTTACTAATATAAATATTCGATTTATTTAAATACATTGAGAAATATATGAAATATGATCGAATACTGCTTTTAATTTTTATATCTACGTTTTAGTCTCTCATTGTAACAAACTATTGTAAATATTTAACTACAAATTAGCTGATTAATCATTAAGCAATTCCGTTGCTTATAACAAATGTTTGCATTAAATATATAAAATCAGCTAAGTTATGATGACGCAACAAACTATTCTGCCTAATTATTTATTAATTAGTTGCATAAACATTTCATTTTCATGTTTGATTATTTAATTTTAAGCTAAATCTGTTAATCAGCCTTTCATGACGACTCTATCTGAGGTGCAATGCTACGCATAGGACAAGAAAATCGTTTTATAACTTGAAATGCCAAGAACTCTATAGTATCAAAATATATACGTGTATATAAAAGCCCGATTCTAAAATGCAATTAAATTTGTCCAATACTTTCATTTTAATTTAAAACCACATTTGTTTCTGCCTATTTAACTTTCAACCATTTGGAAAATTGATAAATAACATTATTTCATGGGTAACATTTTGTAGCGCCATAAAAACGGTATAAAATGGGGACTTGGGCTTGACTAAAGTTCCAGTCCAAGGAACACTGAGCAATGTTTCAAAAAAAGAGAGATTTAGGTTCATAAATAATTTTCTACATAACTGGATGGAGCACTAAGTTATGGTTCAGACTTAAGAGGAAGCAGTATGAGAGATGTGCCGCCTAGCTGTGCAATACACATTGGGCATATTTATGGGTTATATTTGTTGGTTTTTGTTTTTTATTTTGTTTTTTTTTTTTTTATAAATCAAAAAAAAGAAGGTTTGACTCACCTATTGGCATATGGAAAGTTCACCGTGAATATACATGTGTACTTTTTAGACTGTCTGTTATATTATTGAAATGTGTTAATTATTTGGAGTACCTCAATCCTTTACAGGCAGCTTGGGTGCCTTTTCTCTTATTTCATTGCTTTTTTTGGGTGTTGAAAGCCGCCTTGATTGACGATGTGATCGACAGATGTGTTGGCATTCGAAGTTGTGGATGTGAGGATGATGCTTGCTGATTGATTTAATATTTACGTCCTTAAAATGTACGCAGTTTTTTGTATTTCTGTTTTGCATTCCCAAGGTTTACATAGTTTGTTGTAATTGTTCTTATTGTTTGCTTGCTTTTTCAAATTTTTGTTTCTGTTGTTTTTTATGTTTTTTGGTTTTATTATCTGTACAGTGTGATGGCCGTTTGGGCGCATTTAGTAGCGGCTGCGACTGCGGCTTTGCCGCTCGCGACTATCATGTCGGTAATGGTGGCGACTGCGATTGTTGTTGCTGCTGCTGCTGCGCGAATATGAATGGCCATGATGTGACTTGTGATGATCTGGCATAGAAATGATAATTGTAATTAATACGTCCATGGTTTTTGCATTGCGCTGCTGCCTACTTACGATGTCTTCGCTCTGACGACTGCCGACTGGATGTGTAGTCTCGACTGCGCTCTCTGTAATCACGCTGATCGCTGCAAAGTGTATGAGCATTGGTTTTAGTTGTGTTCGTTATACTTTCGATTGTCAGCTTACCGTCTATTCTCGTATGTGTTGCCACGATGTTGGCGCTCTTCGCGACGACGCCGTTCGTCTTCTTCTCGCTCCTTCTGCCGCTTATCGTTTATTTCGGCCACGGCATGACGCAACTTGGAATATCCCAAATGTTGCTTGCCCATTAAATGATCCTCGATGCGCTGCTGAGCATCGCCGACGATCAGAAATGCGCCACAGATCTCACATACCTTCATCTGTTTCTCGGGCAAGGTGTCGTGTGACCAATTGGCTGGGGATTTTGTATCTGATTTATCTTCTAGCGACGCTGTTGCCGTTGTTGTTGTTGCATCAGCAGCCTCATTGGATTCTGTGCTATCGTTGCCGGGTACATCGTTTGAGTTTGCGCCGGGGCTGGTGGATGCCTCATTGCCGTGTACAATTGCAGGCATTGCAGGACTATCATTGGGATTTATGACTTGCTGTGATGGCGAGGCAGCACGCTTGTTGCTTTTGAGATTTGCCTCGTATTGTTGCTGCAGAGATTCTTTCTCCTCTTTCAGCTCCTCGCACAAGGTCATTAATCCTTGCGCCTGATCCACGTCACCGCGAATCCCCGCCTCCTCCGCCTCTACAAGCAATTTGTTGATGCGGGCATTCAAATTAGTTAGCTGCTCCTGATATTTCGATGCCACCGGATGGGATGACGGGTGATCCTTTTGCATGAGCTGAAGGCGTTGCTTGCCTTTCTGTATTTTGCGATCCACATCATGCAGCATTACGTTGCAAAAGCGTAGGAAATCATCTTCGTTCTGACGCTTGCGCGTCGAGGGCCGTGCGTCCTCATATAAGTGCTTAGCCTCGTCGTCATGGATTCGCGGACACGGCCCCAAGTCAGCTCGAGTGTTTATAAAGAGATCGTGTGGGCAGAATTTTACGTTGTAAAATTGACAAAACTGAAATGAAACGAATTGTGTTTAACGCTATTGCAAAAAAAAAAGGAAAACGGCTACCAAGGTCAGCACATAACATGCACACATATTCATACAAACATGAATGTGCATGCATATATGTATATGCGAACGCATGCATACGTATTCGCGTGTTTGCCGGCAAAAAAAGAAAAGATTAAGAGCACCTTACATTTTTTCTTTATGTGCGCAGCAGCAAAGGGAGATTACGGTAAAGGATGCGAGCAAACTAATATATCAAATAATGAAAAAGACCTACAGAATACACTCACCTCTGGGTCTTCCCAGTTAACTTTAAGGCCCGCTTCCGAAGGATGCAAATTTCGATTGCGCCCCATTAGCTCATCGAGCATTTGGCGTGCAGCGTCCACCATTTTCTGTACACGAAATTTGACGAGGCCGTCGCGGGACTTACTACCAAGATTATATCTAGACGTAAACAATCACAATCAGAGGGTGATTAAAGTTCTAAATGTCCAGTTTGCGCGATTGATTAGCTTCCAAATCTTAAGTAACTCCACATTTATTGATTCACGTTCCTCTGCAGCCACACGCGTTAGCGATGTTATGGCACTTGCACACATCGATAGAGCTGATTAAAGCATGAGAAATATCGATGACACTATTGATACTATCGATAGTTTCAAATTTCTTGTAACTATCGATGGAATTACGGCCAGCATCGATAGTTCATTCGTAGAACTGAACGTTAATAGGAATTCAGAAAATTGGTAAAGTACAATTTCGCATGTGCCTTTAGTATTAATATTTAATTGCATTAAAGTGTTTCAGTGAGTAAGTTTCATGTTAATAAAATGTGTGTTTTCCTTCTTTTAAAAAAAACGACAGACTCTGAACCCGAAGTTAAAAGCGCAACAGCAAAAAGAGAAAATTGTGTTATGTGGAAGCATTTTATAAAGTTCGCTGGAAAACCATTTGCTGTTGTATGCAATCATTGCATTCGTGAGTACAAGTCCTCAAACAACACATCTAATATGAGAGAACAGTTGACTCGGTGCTATTCCTGATTCATGAATGAGGAAAAGCCTTTAAAACTAAATAAGCTTGGAAAGTTTGTACAATCCACCAACATGTACAAAAAAGGATCGAAATATTAGTCTGGACAATATCTTTATTCGGATGTTAGCCATAAAACTATCTAATTATTAATTAATTTTTACGCACTTGTTACCAATCTGTCTGTTATAAATAACTTCAAAAATAATTTAATTTAGTCAAAAATTAACAGATTATTAGTACTGTAAAGCCTTTAAAACATAAAAATAAGCTTGAAAAGTTTGTACAATCCACTAACATGTACAAAAAAGGATCGAAATATTAGTCTGGACAATATCTTTATTCGGATGTTAGCCATAGAACTAGCTAATTATTAATTAATTGTTACGCACTTGTTAGCAATCTGTCTGTTATATGCTTCAAAAATAATTTAATTTAGTCAAAAATTAACATATTATTAGTACTGTAAATTCGATTAACCAATGTCGCATTTTAGGCTCATCGACAATTTCGAATCCGTCCATAGCGCTTCTTCAGGAATTGTCATCTGGCCAGTGTTGCTATCCGGGGGTTGTCAAAAAAAGGCGCGAATTCGCGAAACACGCAGTTGGCAAAGGCATCTATCGGCATTTTTCGTGCTGGCTTTATTATTCCGTCAAAAGCAATTGTTTAGGTATTGTTAGTGCAAATTTAAAAGCAAATCAAAAAACATGGATGTTGCTGATGCACAGATCGGACAGTTGCGCGTCAAAGATGAGGTGGGTATACGAACCCAGAAGCTGTTCCAAGACTTCCTCGAGGAGTTCAAGGAGGACGGTGAGATAAAATATACTCGGCCGGCAGCCAATTTGGAATCACCCGATCGCTGCACCCTCGAAGTAAGCTTCGAAGATGTTGAGAAATATGATCAGAATCTGGCCACTGCCATCATCGAGGAATATTACCACGTCTATCCGTTTTTGTGCCAGTCCGTATCGAATTATGTGAAAGATCGTATCGGCCTTAAGACGAACAAGGATTGTTATGTAGCCTTTACGGAAGTGCCGACGCGGCACAAAGTTCGAGATCTAACCACATCGAAAATCGGCACTCTGATTCGTATATCCGGGCAGGTGGTGCGCACCCATCCAGTGCATCCAGAATTAGTTTCGGGCACCTTTATGTGCCTGGACTGCCAGACCGAGATACGCAATGTTGAGCAGCAGTTTAAGTTCACCAATCCGACGATCTGCCGCAATCCCGTCTGTTCCAATCGTCGTCGCTTCATGCTGGATGTGGAGAAATCGCTGTTCTTGGATTTCCAAAAGATACGCATACAGGAGACGCAAGCAGAGCTGCCGCGCGGTTGTATTCCACGCTCCGTGGAGATAATCTTGCGCTCTGAGTTGGTCGAGACAGTGCAGGCGGGCGATCGCTACGATTTTACCGGCACCTTGATTGTGGTGCCCGATGTTAGTGTGCTCGCCACTCCAGGCACGAAGGCTGACAACGGCTCTCGTCACAAAGCTGGCGAAGGCTCGGAAGGCATCACCGGCTTGAAGGCACTCGGTGTGCGTGAACTCAACTATCGCATGGCTTTCCTGGCCTGCAGTGTGCAGGCGACAACCGCTCGCTTTGGTGGCACAGATCTGCCCATGTCTGAGGTCACTGCTGAGGATATGAAGAAACAAATGACGGATGCTGAGTGGCATAAGATCTATGAAATGTCTAAGGATCGCAATCTATACAGCAACCTAATCACGAGCCTCTTCCCATCCATCTACGGCAACGATGAAGTTAAGCGTGGCATATTGCTGCAATTGTTTGGTGGCGTGGCCAAGACCACAATGGAGAAGACTTCGCTACGTGGCGACATCAATGTGTGCATTGTGGGCGATCCCAGTACAGCCAAATCGCAGTTCCTCAAACAAGTGGCGGATTTCTCGCCACGCGCTATTTACACTTCCGGCAAAGCTTCATCCGCGGCTGGTCTGACGGCGGCTGTTGTACGCGATGAGGAGAGCTTCGACTTTGTCATCGAGGCAGGCGCTCTGATGTTGGCTGACAATGGTATCTGTTGCATCGACGAGTTCGACAAGATGGATCAGCGCGATCAGGTGGCGATCCATGAAGCCATGGAACAGCAAACCATTTCCATTGCTCGTGCTGGCGTGCGTGCCACTCTAAATGCTCGCACTTCCATACTGGCCGCTGCGAATCCGATCAACGGTCGATACGATCGTTCCAAGAGTTTGCAGCAGAATATTCAGCTGTCGGCGCCCATCATGTCGCGTTTCGATCTTTTCTTCATACTCGTTGATGAATGCAACGAAGTGGTGGACTATGCCATTGCTCGAAAAATCGTGGACCTGCATTCCAATATTGAAGAGTCTGTTGAGCGCGCCTACACGCGTGAGGAGGTCCTGCGCTACGTGACCTTTGCTCGCCAATTCAAGCCCGTCATTGGACAGGAGGCGGGCAAAATATTGGTCGAGAATTATGGTCATTTGCGGCAGCGGGACACTGGCACGGCCGGACGCAGCACTTGGCGCATTACTGTGCGACAGCTGGAGTCCATGATACGTCTGAGCGAGGCTATGGCCAAACTGGAGTGCTCCAATCGAGTAATGGAGCGTCACGTCAAGGAGGCATTCCGTTTGCTAAACAAATCAATTATACGGGTGGAACAGCCCGACATCCATCTGGACGATGACGAGGAGCTGGATGTCGATGACGGCATTCAGAGTGACATCGACATGGAGAATAATGGGGCGGCAGCAAATACCGATGCTGGTGCAGCCGATCAGTCGGGCGGTGGCGTACAGAAGAAGAAATTTACGCTCTCCTTCGAGGACTACAAGAATCTGTCCACCATGCTGGTCCTCCATATGCGCGGCGAAGAGGCCCGTTGCGAGGTCGAAGGCACCGACACCGGCATGAAGCGCAGCGATGTAGTCACCTGGTATCTGGAGCAGGTGGCCGAGCAAATCGAGTCCGAGGATGAGCTAATTTCACGCAAGAACCTCATCGAGAAGCTGATTGATCGCCTCATCTACCACGATCAAGTTATTATACCGCTCAAGACATCCGATCTGAAGCCCTTCGGAAAGAGCCCGAAGCGGGGGTCCGATGAAGATAAGGAGGAAGAAGATCCGTTGTTGGTTGTGCATCCCAACTACATTGTAGAATAATATTTATCAGCATAGTTAGTTAAGTTTATGTTTTTTTTTACATTTTCTACTTGGCCGCAATTTCTATTCATCTGTTTTAATAATACTTGCCTAAGTACAAAAACCCATACGCATTTATATAGTACGCGTTTAAAATTTAATAGATAAATTCTCTACAAATTTATGTAAATTCAGTTCATTGAAAGAAAAATCATTTTTAACTGAATCAACGGGTCTACCTAAAAAATGTAATGGACGTAAGAATGATTCAAAATTTACTCAAATGTACACTCTATTTATTGTAGAAAATTTCTATTCCGGGAACAAACAATCCTTTTATAAGTTTTTTACTTTAAAAATTTTACTTTAATTTAACATAAATAATATTTATCAAAAAGAAATTCATTTTTAAATTCGAGAATACATTTTTTAAATTCTAAAAAAAAATCTATATTTTTATGAAGAAAAGGGTAGTTTAGCCCTTTGTATATTTATTAAATATATATTCAATTCGTGAAAAATTTGTTTATAAAAATAATGAACCTTTAGATTGCTAAAAATTGAATAAATCATATATTATATAAATTTCCACTCTGTACAAAATTAATGGTTGTGAAAACTGCAAAGCCTTTCGCCGTTCTACAAAGTGAAGCAGCATTTGAAGGCAGACTTCCCTACACGGTCAAATTAATATTTTTTTTATTATTAACAGTTCGGCTGCAATGTAAAATGTACAGGCGAACAAATATTTAGCTATAGCTACGAGGCCTTAAGCTAAATATTTAAACAATTACTTCTACTATAATGCTCTCAACTCAGTGTTGTACTTTTAGAGTCTCGACTCGCATCTTTTTATGTTGTTTAAATATTTCCTTTATTCCTGAATATTTTTATTCTATGGCCACTAAAAATGAACACGACTGTGTAATAACGAATTTGGTGTAATTTTCTATTTGAATTTTTAATTTTACATACATGGGTGCGATTTCATTAAATGGCGATAAACATAATGTACAGGACCTAGGGAATCCAGGAGTCTGTCAGCATTAACCTTTAACAGCTTACTGCTCGAAGGTGTAGTGCTTGACACCCTCAGCTGGATACTGCTTGGCAGCCACTGGGCGATACATTTTCTTGTCGTCCAGCCAATAGTAAAGTGCTAAGCAACCGGCCATAACACCTAGGAAAGAGAGCCAGTATTCCGCGTTGCTGAAACGTGGCTTTTCGGCTTGTGAGAAACGATCCTCGCTGTACAAATCGTGATCTGCCGAAATCTAAAAATACATACATATGTAATATGTACACAAATGCACACTTAATTTACACTTTACTTACAGGCTCATGCAGGTTGCGCTTGTGCTCTGGAAAGTCCCACGGATAGTAGTTATCCTTGTTTTCAACACCCAAGCCGTAACCCACTTTGGGATAATCGCCGTAGCCGAGGCCGTCGTCAGCGTATGGTTTATACTCCTCTGGCAGTAGATAGTATTTCTTGGCAGCTGCCTCACGCTCCTTTTCAGTTTTCGGATATGGAGCTGGCTTGTAGTCCTTGTTCCATCCGGCAACTAGAAAACAATGTGTTGAATGAGCACTATTCAGGCTATAGCACAAAAAGTTACGTAAACAAAACAGAAAGCTGCACCAAACACTTACGGTTGCGCGCAATTTGACGCTGCACGAAAGGGTTACAGGCGCCCAGCTTTTGTGCCAGACGCAGAGAATTCATCAATGCGGACATTATGAGCTGATTGACTTAAATTAATAAAAAAAACCTCAATCACCCACAACTTTTTCCCAAGCAGAAGCAATTATCGTGCCCAGCTGTTTTGTGGATGTGTCAAAGTCGATAACAAAATGTATCGGGCAATCGCATATCGTATCATACAGATTGCTGTTGTGTGCGCAATGTTCTTTAGATGTAACACATTCGATTAGGAATCTATCGGACTATCGCACATCGAGCCCTCCAGGTTGTTGTTGTTGTCCGTCCCCAGCAACAGTTCTTGAACGGGGATAGGTTTTTGGCAATCGGCTTTGTTGGTCTAAGCTTTATTTTGTTATCCGAAGCAATACCGAATACTAGAAAAATGGTGCTACCAATATTGCAGCGCACCTCAGCTACGCTCCGTAGCGTGCAACAGCTGAATAAACCATGGTTGGCCGCAATTACCAGCTCCCGGATGGTAAGATATGGCTTTATATCGTATGCTTATGTAATTGTTGCAATTTTTGTTTTGGTTGTGTCGCTTCCAATGCACTTTTTAGCTCTCACTCTATCTACACAAATAAAGAAAGTTACTCCTAAATAAAAGATTGTTGATCTATAATGCGTAACTTCGCCAGAAAATGCATATTTAAGCCCAAAGAAGACACGCCGGCGTTTCGTAACCAAACGTTTGCTTACTACCTATGTATGTATGTATGCATAAATATATATATAACTATAAACATATGTACATATACATATATATGTACATAAAAATGTATCGTGTACGTATTATATGAGTGATACAATTTCTGAATCTCTGATGTGACCCAAAATTCGTACCATACTCATAACTATGATCTTAGTGCCAAACGAAGCAATTTCGAAATCCGAGAATCGAACTCTAAAAACGAATCGATGTTAAATCATTATTCTATCCATACGTTTCAATCACGCACCTTAAACGCGACCGCAAATTGTTTCGGTTTAACAAAGTGTAAAAATGTGTATATGTAATAGTTTTTGCTATTAACGGTAACTTCTGTAAAATTTGGACGAAATAACAATATCTGCTTCTGCTGCACTCTAAATTGTTTCTCACAGAGGAGGCTGGTTTTTTCAAAAATGGTAATTTTTTCCTCCAAGAGGTTTTTGTTCCTAACTCTTGATATATTTCGATTACGTTATTATCAAAATATTTCATAAAAAGACAGTTTTTACTTTGATGAGATTGTAAATAAATAAATATTTTGTCGTTAGTTCAAAAACCAACTTTTTTCATTTATATATACAAATTTTCAAAATATTGAGCCCATTAACTGGTATCAGAAGTGCAAAACCCACTCATCTTGTAATGTTCTATACCCAGACTTTCTTACAATAGGTTTGATATAAGCTTTATGTTACAAAAAATATATAATTATACGAAATATGACCGCATTTTTACCCCACGAAGGGCTCTATTATTCTGAAACCTACTTTTTATATTTTATTTTTACTGTCCTAGCTTTAATGTTAGTTTAAGTAACAAAGAATATAACTATACAAACTATAATTGCTTTCTCACCCCACGAAGTGGTCGAATTTTCGAAAAAACACTATACTTTTATATACCCAGAATTTCTTACGATAACGCTAATGTAAGCTTTAAGTTATAAACAAGGAGTTTTCTCACAGTCGATAAATAGTTATATAGTTTCATCACGCCAGAAAGATAAACCATCCATCATTTGAAAATGGCGGACGAATAGGTGAAAAAATTTTTTATTTCTAAGCCACAGTTGGAAGATTTTGATTAAATGTATGTATCTTGATCAGAATACGATTTGATCGAATAGCCGACATATTCTTTGTGGGTAACTTTTTTGAAGCTTGGAAACAAGAAAACTATAGCAATTGTTACATGTCGGGCCACCCTATATTGCGATAAAGCTTTTCAAAACTGCTGACTTTCAATTCCATATGGTCATGGCCATGTAATGTAATAAATTTTATCAAGTTTTGAATCAACTCTCAGCCAGACTGCCGACATTTACATTCACACTCGCGACTCGCAATTGAGAACGCTCCGGTTTTGGTTTTCGACTCCCCAAACTGGTTAATTGAATTTTAAGACAAGTACATAAGTTGGCTGTGTGGTGCCGAAGCTTAAATACCCTCGCAATAGTTCGTCTTTTTTGAATCGTTCCCATGACAGCTATGTCTAATCTAAACTTTGTATTACTATAGCATTATAGCTGACAAACTTCCCAACACCTCAGTTAGTTCTGATATATTTATAAAATAAGAAGTTTTAATTTTTCTGTATTATTAGTTATATCAATAAACTCTTCATTCCGATATCACACAGAAAGGCTTTTCAAGAAAGATTTGGTATTTGATAACACTAATAGACTTTCAATTATTTCATTTGGCTCAGATATCTTTATAAACATAATTAATTAGTATATTCCTATGACAGCTACTCGTGATTTATATTAGGGAACCAAAGCAAGCAATGAAGATATTGCAAAATCGGTCGAAAGTTCCTATGGTGGTCATTTTCAGAGTGTATGTTATGGCATTATATTAAACCACCACGTTTATTATTTGGCAGAAATAGCTTTAAAAAAAACAACACACTTATTGCAAAATAGGCCGAAAGTGGCTATGGCAGCTATAAGATATAGTGGTCCGATGTCGGTTCAAATCAAAATATAAGTCACAACATTATATAAAGCCTAAACATATATGTAAATATTGGTTGAGATAGACACTATTACAAAATCGGTCGGCACTTCCTATGGCAGTTCTAGAATATAGTGGTTCTTCCGACTGGTTGCCACAACTGTTCTACTGAAAACGGACGAAAGACGACCATTTCTAAATGAATTTGTCTCATCTTACTAATTTCTGCTACAAAGTTCAGGGCACAGGCAATATACTCTTTGCGAGCTCTTTAGTGCTGTGCACTTGAAATGATTTCTCCCCTGTCCCAACTGATGTTTTGTAGAGAAATGTAGGCCGCTCTTATGGTTGTTTTTCTTTTTAAAGATAATCCAAACGCTAATAAAGAGTGCTTTGTAACGCTCATTCCACACCTCCGTCCCTCCGTCCGGTACCTCCCTGCCGTATGTGTTTGCTAATTGTTGGCTGAGCGCAGCTGTAAATCAGAGCGCCCCATGAGGTCGCACCGCACACTGAGATTCGGCAAGGCCATACTCCTAAGTTGAGCAGAGAAATCTGCCTGTATTCGCGCTCTTTCGGATCGCAGAATTCGCCATTCATTTCACTTTAGTTTTCATGTTTTAGTGTTTCGGGGCTTATCTGCTTTGCATGTCCCGCAATCTGAGACAATCGCTCGAGCAATAAACAGGGGTGTCAGGTTAAATAAAAAGCTGATTTCAAAAAGATTCCATAAATCTTTGCAATGGTTGGTGACTCGCAAAAAAATTATTATTATTCTTTTTTTAAATTAACATGTTTTCTTCGTGAACTTTTTCAGGCCTCACAAGAGTTTCGTTTGGAGAGCGACACGTTTGGCGAGTTGAAGGTGCCAGCAGATAAATATTATGGTGCCCAGACGATGCGTTCCCAAATCAATTTTCCCATTGGCGGAGCCACGGAGCGTATGCCGGTAAGTATCTCCCCTTTTCCCTCCGCACAGACAGCAGAAGAATTGACCTTATAATGTGGATTTTCGTTTAGAAACCGGTGGTACAAGCCATGGGCATACTGAAGAAAGCCGCCGCAGAGGTGAACAAAGAGTTCGGCCTCGACCCGAAAGTTAGTGAAGCCATCTCAAAAGCTGCCGATGATGTTATCTCCGGAAAACTGTATGCAGACCACTTCCCATTGGTGATCTGGCAGACGGGTTCCGGCACCCAGAGCAACATGAACGTCAATGAGGTGAGGGGCGACCGCCTAATTGTGAGAGTTTTGTAACGCAATTATTTATATGCTCAGGTGATCAGCAATCGGGCTATCGAGCTGCTGGGTGGCAAGCTCGGCTCGAAGACTCCCGTACATCCCAACGATCATGTGAACAAGTCGCAGAGCTCCAATGACACCTTCCCCACTGCCATACACATTTCGGTGGCTCTGGAGCTGAACAACAACCTCAAGCCGGCCATCAAGACGCTGCACGATGCGCTCCGTGCCAAGTCCGAGGAGTTTAAGGACATCATCAAGATCGGACGCACCCACACAATGGACGCTGTGCCCCTCACCCTGGGCCAGGAGTTCAGTGGCTATGCCCAGCAGCTGGCCTATGCTCTAGAGCGAATCGACGCGTGTCTTCCCCGTGTCTACGAATTGGCTCTCGGTGGCACAGCTGTCGGCACCGGTCTGAACACCCGCAAGGGCTTCGCCGAGAAGTGCGCCGCCAAGATCGCCGAACTCACAAAACTGCCATTTGTAACAGCGCCTAATAAATTCGAAGCGCTCGCCGCTCGCGATGCTATGGTTGAGGTTCACGGGGTGCTGAACACCATTGCCGTCAGTCTGATGAAAATTGCCAACGATATACGCTTTTTGGGCTCTGGACCACGCTGCGGCCTCGGCGAGCTGATGCTGCCCGAGAACGAGCCCGGCAGCTCGATTATGCCCGGCAAAGTGAATCCCACACAGTGCGAGTCCTTAACCATGCTGTCGGCCCAAGTAATGGGCAACCAGGTGGCTGTTACCATCGGTGGCTCCAATGGACACTTCGAGCTGAACGTCTTCAAGCCACTGATTGTGTCCAACGTGCTCCGCTCCATTCGACTGCTGTGTAAGTAAAAAAACGGTTCGTTATAGGGGGGGTTAACGTCAGTGGGTATACGGACTTACTAGAAAGTGTGTGCAAAGAATCGGACCGATTGCCCTCCAAGAACCACAACAGGGACAGCAGGACTTGTCTCACATATTGTCTTCCATGGGGGCAACTAACATTGTTAGGGAAAAGGGCGGGTTCTGAATATGTAAGAGTCGGTCTGGTGCGACTTAAACAACGTATTCTCTCATTGCAGCCGATGGCAGTCGCACATTTACGGCTAACTGCGTAAATGGCATCCAGGCCAACCGGGATCGCATTGCAAAGATCATGAACGAATCACTTATGTTGGTCACCGCTCTGAATCCGCACATTGGTTACGACAAGGCGGCGAAAATAGCGAAGACGGCGCACAAGAATGGCACCACACTGAAGGAGGAGGCCATCAATCTGGGCTATTTAACCGAACAGCAGTTCAACGATTGGGTTAAGCCCGAGGAAATGCTGGGACCCAAGTAGGCGTCCAACCAACAGACACATTCTAGAACATAAGCAAAAAGTCAAACAACTGGGAACGGCAGCAGGCTTCGACAAAGTCGACCTACTCGACTCGACTCAGTCGATTAGTCAGTTGAAGCATTGTCGTCGTTTGGTAAACATTTTTTTCGCCTTTCCAAACTCGATCAGAAAACATAGCCCGGAATAAAATTGAAAAGAAAAATTTGTATTTGAATTATTTGCAATGTTTCGGTCGTTGCGATCTGTAAATGTGCGCCAATATCTGGTGTCCTACGCCAGATTGCCACGCACCCTTTCCACAACCTCTGTGTTGTGCGACAAGGGCGGGGATAAGAAAGAGGACAAGAAAGGCGGAGGCAAGGATGTAAGTACTTGTGGATCTATCTTCTACCAAAGCGTAAGGAACCTTTTTCTGGCAGGGAGGCGACGGCAAGTTTCGCATTGAGAAGGACACCTTCGGTGAGCTAAAGGTGCCCGCCGATAAGTTCTTTGGGGCACAAACAATGCGGTCCAAGCTCAACTTTCCCATAGGCGACATTGGCGAACGCATGCCGGTAACTAACATTAAAATTCTTGCCCTCCAACCAACTAGCAAATACTCCACTATGCCCCAATCATAGCTGCCCGTAATTCAAGCGATGGGCATACTGAAGAAGGCCTGTGCCGAGGTGAACAAGGAGTTTGGCTTGGACGCAAAGATAGCCGACGCCATATCTTGTGCTTGCGACGACGTCATTTCGGGTAAATTCTATAAGAAGGGCGACTTTCCGTTGGTCATTTGGCAGACCGGTTCGGGCACCCAGACCAACATGAATGCCAATGAGGTAAGGTCCTCTCTTAACTGAGGCTATCCTTAGGCATAAAATATTCGCTTAGGTTATCAGTAATGCGGCCATCAAAAACATGGGCGGCGAGTTGGGCTCCAAGAAACCCGTCCATCCCAATGATCATGTGAACAAGTCGCAGAGCTCCAACGATACCTTTCCGGCTGCCATACACATCTGTGTGGGAATGGAGCTGAATGAGCGTTTGATTCCGGCCATCACCCATTTGCGCGATGCGATCAAATGCAAGTCGGAGGACTTTAAGGACATCATCAAGATCGGCCGCACGCATTTGATGGACGCTGTGCCGCTGACATTGGGTCAGGAGTTTAGTGGTTATGCCCATCAGCTAACCAATGGTTTGGAGCGCATCAATGCCTGTCTGCCGCGCGTCTATGAGTTGGCTTTGGGAGGCACAGCCGTCGGCACTGGCCTAAACACCCAGAAGGGCTTCGCCGAAAAGGTATCCAAGCGCGTGGCCGAGCTAACATGTTTGCCTTTCGTGACGGCACCAAATTTCTTCGAAGCGCTTGGCGCTCGTGATGCTATGGTTGAAGTGCACGGTGTGCTGAACACCATCGCTTGTAGTCTGATGAAGATTGCCAACGACATTCGCTTTCTGGGCTCAGGGCCTCGTTGCGGTCTGGGCGAGCTGATGCTGCCCGAGAACGAGCCCGGCAGCTCCATTATGCCTGGAAAGGTGAATCCAACGCAGTGCGAGTCTCTCACTATGATCTGTGCTCAGGTGCTTGGTAATCAGGTCGCAGTATCATTTGGCGGTGCAACCGGACATTTCGAGCTGAACGTCTTCAAGCCGCTGATTGTATCCAACGTGCTACGTTCCATACGTTTGTTGGGTGAGGGACCGAAAATAACCTCTTTCTAATGGTATAAATGATATTTCTAATATTCTCCATTGCAGCTGATGGTAGTGTTACATTTAGCAAGAATTGCATGGAAGGCATTCAGCCCAATAAGGAACGCATTGCCAAGATCATGAATGAATCGCTTATGCTGGTTACGGCTCTGAATCCGCACATTGGTTACGACAAGGCGGCAGCAATTGCCAAGACTGCTCACAAGAACGGCACCACCTTGAAGGAAGAAGCCCTAAAGGCCGGTGTCACCGAAGATCAGTTCAAGGAATGGGTTGATCCCAAGAAGATGATTGGCCCCAAAGAACCAGGCAAAGAACCAGCCAAGTCAGACAAAGATCCAGCCAAGTCAGACAAAGAACCAGCCAAACCCAAGCCCAAATAATTTTTGCAAACATGCTATACCAATTTAAATATTGATTAAAAATAGTTAAAGCGCTTCATTCAAATACTTATCGATTTGTTAAATTTCAAGGATCGATTGGCAGCACTTTAACAAGAGTTCGTGGTAGACTATTAAACCGAAAAACTTTTAGTTTTATGTAATGATAATTATTTTCCATATTTCTGATTTAATTTCATTTTAAAAATACATAAAATCATTTAAAGTGCTTCATTTCTTATTCATAATTAAAAACGATTTCACTTCGATACATTTTTAACGATTATTGTCGTGCGCCGACTGGCAGCACTCCAATAGCCACAGCTGTTCGGGTCAGAGACTACCACAAACACATGATAAACATAGCCAGTGTCGCTAGATAAAATAATACTGTCCCATCTAATAAATAAACTACATATATAGTAGGTATAAATACATACATGTACGTGTGGTTATATATTTTTGACAGTGAATTTCATTTGATGAGTATCATCCAACACTAGCGTGCAGTGTTATTTTTCCCCATCACATTTTGTTTTTTCTGTCTAGTCGACTTAGTTGTATGAAGTGATAATTATTTTGTATTACTTACATGCTTTTACCGTTAGCATGCCGTTTTTGTCAGTTACATAGATTGTAGGCGGCTTAAAGCGTGAATCGTCGCGATTACCTAATTAAGTACATGTGTATGTATGTATGTATGAGACTACATTAACATTAGTATTAACGGAGCAACAAATAATAAAAACAAAAGAGCGAAAAAGTAGTCGATAAAAACACATACATACAAACAAACATAACACGTACAAATTGTGCGAACGAACATTTTATTCCCACGAGAAGCAAATTTTCGAACAAAAAGTAAGCACAGTGAAACAATTCAGCAAAGTTAATTGACTTTAAAAAATTATCTGTCCATAACAAAAATGCAAAATCCATCTACAATATACACTAGTATTACAATAAGTTCTTGACCGTTTGGAAATTGTGTACATGCATATGTAATTCTGCATTATTTCCCCATTCCCCAAACCTAACGTCTTCTGTATTTATAAACGCAGCGTGACGGCAGCGGCGACAACAACAACAACGACAACGACGGCGAATTAGCAAACATTTTTGCGACGCAAAAACAAATATTTGGAAGGCCAAGCGAGCAAAACAGTCATTGGTAGCAGCTGTTCTACGATTCCCAGCTTACCGATACGGTTCCCACTAAGGTTGTTCATTGATCCATCGATCCCTTCGATCATCGTTTAGATTCTTCGCATGTCGAGCACAACAAACACAATTTGTGTGGGTGTTGTTGTTGTGAACAGCGAGCAGGAGGGCGAGGAAACACCGTAGCTAAAAAAGAATGTGAGTTCATGTCTGCGATATCATTAAATTCTCCACCATCTATATATATTCTATATTTCCCAGTTGAAAGTTTTGCACTTCGGATCTGCTGTAGTTTGGGGTACCGTCGGCGAGGGCGGGCAAGAAGATGTCTGTGCGACTATTGACGGTGCGGCTGGTGAAACATGGTCGTTATATTCTGCGCAGCTATTGGAATCGTGAAATACACACCAACATTTTGGAACAAAGTCATTTGAAGACACGAAGCAAGCGAGGCTTTCCCGTCGCAACATCAGCAGCGTCCAATGTTTTGCGAGTAAGAACGTTAACTCAAATGTTAATAAATAAATATAAATCTCTATTTATTAATTATTGCTTCGCAGAACACTACACAGCAGGTGGCCAGATCGGCGCCTTCATCGGCTGCAGGTGCATTGCCAAAAGCGGGCACTGGTCTCTTTCGCTTTGGCCAGCATGCTCGCAAACTCTTCATAGATAATATATTGAGTCGCGTGACTACAAACTATTCGGAGGAATTGCGTCAACGTGCGACGCGCAAACTCTTTTATGGAGATTCTGCACCATTTTTTGCACTCATTGGCGTTAGTTTGGCCTCTGGAGCGGGCGTCTTAAGCAAGGAAGATGAGCTGGAGGGTGTGTGCTGGGAGATACGTGAGGCGGCGAGTCGTTTGCAGGCCGACTGGAATCGGGACGAGGTATCTGAGAAGCTAAACAAGGATTTTACCATTGACAATCTGGATGTGGGGCCGCCCATTGCAAAGGGCTGTGCGGCAGTTGTGTACGCAGCCGCCTTCAAGAATGAAAGCAGCATGGCTGGGGGTGGGGATGTTGGTGACTTGGACAGCAGCAGCACCAGCGCCGATAACAACAAGAGCTTGCCTTCCGCTTACCCAAGCAGTTGGCGTCATGAGATGATGTCGCCTCTGCAAAATATGTCACGTTTCGTGCACAATTTTGGCGGCTCTGTCGATAACGTCTACAGCTATAGTCAACGCTCAGCGGCTAGCGCATTTGTCGAAGGCTTGGCAACGGCTAAGCATGAAGAGGATTCGGAAAGCGTCAAAAGTGACACTCCAATCCTTCAACAGCAGGAGCAGCAGCCTGTGGACGGCATGTATGGCAATGCCTACGGCATGGTAAGTGAACAGTGTACCCCAACAAAAAAGTTCGCTCATAACTCTTGACACTGACAGCATACTTTAGATGATGCGAGCACGGCAGGCGCCTCAATTAATCGCTACCCCTTGGCTCTCAAAATGATGTTTAATTACGATATACAAAGCAATGCCTTGTCCATTCTACGCGCCATGTATAAGGAGACAGTACCGGCGCGACAGCGTCGCATGAACGCCTCAGCCGAGGAGTGGGAGCGTCTGCTGCAGAATCAGACGCTGTGTCTGCCTCCACACCCTAATATTGTGTGCATGTTTGGCTTCTTTTGCGATGAGGTGCGCAACTTTCCCGACGGCCATTTGCTGTATCCCATCGCTCAGCCGCAGCGCATTAATCCGCAGGGCTATGGCAGGAATATGTCGCTCTATTTGTTAATGAAACGCTATGATATGAGCTTGCGCCACCTTTTGGACGCCACCGAGCTGAGCACGCGCACAAAAATTCTATTGTTGGCCCAAATGTTCGAAGCAGTCGCACATCTCAATCGACACGGTGTGGCGCATCGTGACCTCAAATCCGATAATGTGCTCATCGAACTAAACGATGATGATACACCGCCGGTTCTTGTGCTCTCGGACTTTGGCTGCTGTTTGGCCGACAAGGTGAATGGATTGCGTCTCCCATATGCCTCGTATGACATCGACAAGGGCGGAAATGCGGCGCTTATGGCGCCAGAGATAATCAATTCGCAGCCAGGGCCCTTTACGGTGCTCAACTACAGCAAGGCCGATCTGTGGGCGTGCGGGGCTCTAGCCTATGAGATCTTTGGCCAGCCCAATCCCTTCTATTCGTCCAGTGGCGGACTCGCCCATGCCAATGGCGAGCTCACATATTCGTTACGTAACAGCGACTACAAGCACGAGCAGCTGCCGCCCCTTACAGACGCCTGTCCGCCAATCCTGCAGCAACTTATTTACAACATACTCAATCCGAATCCATCGAAGCGCGTCAGTCCCGACATTGCAGCCAATGTCCTGCAGCTCTTCCTCTGGGCCCCCTCCCACTGGCTTAAGGCTGGTGGCATGCCGAACAGTCCAGAGGTAAGTAACGCCGTTCCAAATTTGTGATGCGTAAGGCGCTCGCCCACGTTGCATATTTTTCTCATCTTCATTTCTTTATTCCGAAGATCCTGCAGTGGCTGCTTTCTCTTACAACGAAAATCATGTGCGAGGGCCGTCCCCAGTATCAGGATACCGGGAATACGGGCGTCAACTTTTCGCAAACCGGAAGACGCGCCTACGTTGAGTATCTGCTGATCTGCAGCTTTCTGGCACGCGCCCGTTTGCGTCGCATACGTGGCGCCCTCAATTGGATCCAAAATGTGGTGGCGGCATAGGCGTAGGAGGACAAGTACTTGAAGTGCAGCTGCCCCGAATGGCGTTATGTTATTTTGTTATTCTTAAAAAATCAAATGGAAAACGCGTGTGATACCTATAATATACATATATCTATATAAAATTTCGACAGTAGCTGCATACAATGAAGCGTTATTCATAGAGTATGTATATATATATTTATATAATATTCATTTTCTATTAACAATCCTTCAAGAGATAACGACTCCTCTTCGTCTTAAGTCAGTTCTTCTTTTATCAAAAGACGGCGACTCTGTATCCGAAAGTTAACAAAAGTTTCGCTTTAGTTTCACCTGGGGTAGGTATGAATGGACTGCCACATATACTTCTCAGTTCATATTGGATGTATTTCTAAATTTAAGTTGATTTTTTGTAATTGAACAAAACAAGAATTCGAAGATCTTCTGCTCTTCATAATCATGCTTTCATTCTGGCTTATTGCTTAGTTATTTTTATATATATATATATTCCGATAATTATAGACCAAATTGTTATAGATTGTACATAGACCATATTGCTGCGGCTTTTCATCATTATAGAATTAATTTAATTGGTCTCTACCCTCCAAAAATCGATATCCCAGCTTTAAAGTTATTGCCTCAAATTTTCGCTCCTACACATTTTATTTCTGTCAGCAAAACATTTGTGAAACCAACCAAATCGGATCACTACTTATATTTTCGAGCAGCAATATCTCCGTTGATTGTAAAGCTTTCTCAACCAAATATGTTGTTTTATTCCATTAATTTCAGTGCAATTCGACTCATTATTAAATTAGCCACATTGTAGGGCAAATTGTTTCATTGGATGCGATTCAGGAATTTGAAAAGGATTTGACCAATTCATGAAATTCTTTTATTAGATTAGATGCCATTCGGCTTATCAAATTTCCCTCATTTTAGGGCGAATGGTTCCATTGCAGCGGATGCAATTCGGCTTTTTATTAAGCTTATTTTAGAGCAAATTCTGTTTACTGAGTAGTTGAGATGCTATTCGGTTTATTATTAAGCTTCCCTCATCGTCAAGTCTTTAGAATTCTTTAGAATTCCATTAGACTGCATGCAATTCGGCTTCTTGTTAAACTTCCCTCATTTTAGGGCAAATTGTTCCATTGGATGGTATGCGATTCAGGAATTAGAAAATGTCTATTGGATTATATAAAATTCCCCCATTATTAAGGCAAATTCTTTTATTAGATTAGATGCGATTCGGCAATTTAATACATTTCTGATAACTGAAATTCCATTGAAATATAATTTTAAATAAAACATTTAACTTAAACTTAAAAACTCACATGACTAATACAATCGTAATCATGACCAGACCAGTTAGACACAAATTGTATTGTTACTGCTGCGGAGGAAGTAAATTTTTCTAGTCTGAATCGAAGCCAAGTTCGAAAACACAAGAAAAGCGGTTTAAAGTTGTTGACTAAATTTTAAAGGAGTTCGCAGACTCGTTCCTGGACTTTCGCATCTTAGGGCTTCTGTTGTTTCGACTGAGATCGTGGTTGTCATAGCCATTTGGACCTATTCTGCAGGCATTTTGTGTGGGTGAGCTGAGACGGCGTTTGGTGGTGGCATGTGGATGTGTCGACGTGTTCCCACCCACAACGTAGTGGTTCTCTGGTTCATCGATCGAGCCGAGGAAATAGTTTAGCGTCGTCTCTTCGTTGGCTTCGAGGGGGGATGTCGGTGTCGTGTCATTTAAGTCTTGCAGTGTTTTGCGTTCGCGCCGTTTCTCGCACTTCCTGAGCACGCTCTTGGCATGAGCTATGATCTGTTCGTAGTCAAGCTCCAAATCCTCGTCAGCTCCGTCAGTGGCTGCTGCAATGCTGAGCGATAGCTCTTGCTCCTCCTCTTCCTTCACTTCCTCCTCCATTTCATGACAGCTGCCATCGATGTTGTTGTCCAGCGAACGATGCCAATCATAGTACCATTGGGACTCAAAATAGGCCTGCATGGTGCGTCGTCTGAATACACAGGCGGGCGGCAATGAGCGGGCGCCTCGCAGGACAAACTGCAGGCGCTCCTTGGCGAATACGCCCACCATGGCCAGGTAGTTCATTTCCCGTTCATTGGCCAGCCTTTGGATGGCATTGAGGGCGACTGTCTCGACCAGAGCCTCGTCCTGACTGGCTTGAGCGTAGGCCAGCAGCCACTCGCAAATGTCATGCTCGCCGAGATCGGATGTCTTGGGCTTCGGCGGTATTTCAGGCAGCTTGGCCAGCTCCAGAATTTGTACTATACGCGTCCGATAAGCCGCCGTCTGCCAGTCGGCTACAAAGTACTCCAAACGGTTGGGAAGCGGCGCTTGTGGCGGCAGTGGCTCCACAAATGGACGCAGCTCCTCGGGAAATTGCCGCAGTGTGTGTAAATCCTCGCCAGCGACTAGCTGAAGCCGCCTTACCGCCTCGTTATATAGTGCGACCGGGAGCTGTGGATCGGCGCGGCAATGTCGGGCCAAGGCAACATCCTGTTCGAGCGCATGCTGTAGACGGCTGAAGAGCTCATTGCCCAGACTGCCGACAAGCCACTCCCGCAGCTCGACTTGCTGCAGGATGTTGCGGCTGTGCTGGGACTGGCTGGCCAGGAACTTGACGGCACGATGGAGGAGCATAACAATGCGTTGATAGCTTCCCTTTCTGGCCGAAGAACGATGGCCGTAAATGCGATAGGCGTGCAGATTGAGACTCTGAAGCTGCAGCGTTCGGCCCAGAGCAATCTCATCCAGTTGGTCGGCGTCCTGGAAAATGAGCGCCAAATAGCTGATGCCACTCTGCTGGCACAACTGCTGCACGCGGAGGCGCAACGCCTCCAGCTGGGCAGGATTGTTGCGAGCGAAGAAGACGGCGCCATCGGCATGCAAAAGTTGCGACGCAGACATGTCCAGGCCCTGAATTTTGTGCACACACAGAGCCACATTGTGGGCCAAGCCGCGTATATAGAAGGTGCCATCGTTGGCGTCCGATGGCCCCTCTAATGGGTGGCGCAGCAGGCCACGATCGAGTGCATGCTCGAAAGGCAGGCCTTGGACACCGCTGGGTAGGGAGAGCAGCAGTTTGAAATATTTACGTTCACCCGGCGCAATGGGCAGCGATTTGCTCAGCAATTGCCACAAATCCAGCTTCAGACAATGATCGTATTCCATGCCCTCGAGCAGTGTACGATAATTGCAGGGCTCGCCCTGGCGATAACGTCGTATCATGTGGAGCGGCACCTGCTCCTTGCCCACCAGCTCGCTGCTCGACTCGCCATTAAAGTTGAGTGGCAGACGTGCGAAGAGCTCGTCTTTGTGCTGGTGCGCGCGTCGATAGCTGCGCCACTTATTCCAAAATCTCTGCATCAAACCCAATTCATAGTGGGCTCTGTGCAGCTCCTGCGCCACCAGTTGCGCAGTGATGCTGTCCAGCAGCTTTGTGTATTCCGCGGTGGCGCTGCAATGCAGTCGTACCTCCTCGCCGCAGATATCCTGCAGATTCTCCAGCAGGAGCTGATTGAAGAGCTGGTCGGACTGGCGCGCACGTCGGTGTTCGACCTCTCGTTGGAGAGCTGCTCGCTGCTCCCGTGCCGCCGCCTCCTGTTGCTGCTGCTCTTCCAGCAGCTTCTGACGCTGCAGCTCCTCCAGTTGCTGTTGCTGCTCTAACAATTTTTGGCGGTGTTGCTTCTCCTGCAGACGTTGTCGCTGCTCCTCCTGCTGGCGTTGTCTTTGCTCCTCCAGCTGGCGTTGTCTCTGCTCCTCCTGCTGGCGTTGTTTTTTCTGTCGCTCGTCTTTCGCCGCCAACAGCTCCGCCTCTCGCTGTTTAGCTCTTGCAATCTCCTGATGCAGTTTCTCCAGTTTTGCGGCCTCCTCCTCCCTCCGCCGCATCATCTCCGCGGTCAGTAAATGGTCCTCCGACTGCTTAACCGCACTAAATATTGAGGGTGCCATGTTGGGTGTCGTCGGTCTCGGGTTCATGCCAAAGATGTTGCCATTAAAGGTGCACTTTGATGTCGTCTCTGCCGGCGCCTGCGCTCTCAGTCCATCGAATATGGATGTCGGGTTGGCGGACGTCGCCACCTTTTGCTCCATTAATGGGTTGCCAAAAGCTTTGCTCTTCTGCGGCATTACCACCGACACTTTTGGCACCTTAAACAGATTATCTGTCGGTGATTTGCGTAGCAATTTCTCCGGTTGCTGCTGCTGGTGCACCTCATCCTCCAGTTCCTCCTCCTGCTGCTGATACTGCTCCTCGTCTGGCTCCACCACACCATTTTGTATTTGATCTTTGGCCGTCCAAGCGCTGCTCTTCAAGTAGCCCTGCTCGTTAAAGCTGTTGTGTGGCCGATGATTCCTATATAACGACTTTGGCGGCAGTGGTTCCCCACAAATACATTCCCCAACGCTCTGACTTCGCTTCGACTCCACCAGCTGTGAGGTAAAGACGTGAAAATGGGATTAGTTGCGAAGCAAATAGGTGTCGAGAACATCTAATACTCAAATATCATTATAATGTTAAGTTCTATTTGTGAGAACAAAACTTTGAGAGAAAGAGAGAGAGAGAGAGAGGGAAGGAAGAAGGTAGAGAGGTCAATAGTGGGATATGAATAATGGTGTAGGATTCCTTGAAAAAAACGGTATTTGGGCGAACGGGGGCTCTATATAAACCTAATAGTTTCAGATCAAATGAAATGAATGAGAAATGAAAAGAGATATATGTAATATGGAGTAAGACTTCTTGAAAACAACAGCATGTAACCGAACTGGGCCTCTATATAATCCAAAGTGTTTCAGGTCAGGAAATGAAACGAATTTCGTTGCTCACCTCCAGTTGACGCTGCAGCTTATACTCGACATCAGGGGGCTCTGCGCTCCATACGAGAACCACACGCGCATCCCAGACTTTAAGTTTGTAGTACTCCAGGAAATCGATAGCTTCTTCTTCGCTGACAAAGCCAAGCATCTTGGTTACAAACCTAACCGGCAGGGAGGAGTCCTGCAGGCGTGGAGCGCGATACGATTGAACCAAGCGACGCAAGGCGAGCACACGTAAGCGTGTGAAGTATGTGAGGAGAATGCAGGCACTGAGGTAAGTGGTTTCGGGATCGCGGACAAGCTCAAAGAAGCGCACAAAGTTAGTGTCCTGCAGAGCCAGATAGAACTTGATGGCATGCTTGATTTGGGCGCATCCTTGAAGCTCAATGGGCAGCTGCGCAATGTCCCACAGGAAGTTCGCGTCCGCTAAATTAAGCAGAACAATGTAGGAGCGGAATTCGGCCTCGCGCGGACACTGCACGCCCTTGAGACGCAGATCATGGTACATATACTTGAGGGTTTGCAAGCACTTCGTCAGGTTCTCGGCATTGATCTTTGAGTCGAAGACGCTGGGATCCTCGGCCACCAGGCGAGCGGCGCAGTGTATGTGGAAACGGGCGCATTGTTCCACTAGTTTCACAGCGTCCAGGGAGCAGAGCTCCTGCTGGGTGATCTCTTTGCGTATGGAGCGGGTGCGATCCCACAGAAAGTGGAACCAGTCGCCCATGTTTGTCTCCCGACTCTCGCTACGGTCCATAATTTCGTGCATTAGGTATGCCATGGTCATGTGAAGAACCGGCTCCGGGCGCAACTCGTGCAGCAGCGGCGTCTCCTGATCGGCACTACTGCGCGAATACTCCTTGACTGCCAGCCGATGATCGATCAGCTCATCCGAATGTGACTTTAGCTCGTAGACGGCAACCTGGCGTTGGAATTCGCGCAACACGCGCTCCTTCTCCGGGCACATGTCGGGACAGTGGCCATACGTGCTGCCTGCACTCGCTATGTCTGTGGTGCGTCGCATTTGCTGGCGCAACAGTTTGTCGCGTGCGTCCAATACGCGATATTTCTCCTCACTGCTGAAGGCAGGCTTTCGCATAATCGTTTCCAAATCATTTTTCGCACTATTATATTGGGCGGTCGAACGTTGTCGCTCTGACGCAGAGCTAGCCGTTGCTGTTGACTTTGTTGTCATGGCTTTTGTTGAGCTGAGGCCACTGCCTCCGGCAGGGGTGGATGCGGCTGTGCTGCCCCACATCGACTTGCCGCTACCATACTCTGAACGCCAGCCGGCGGAGAGTGCGCTGAGCTCCGCCTGCACCTCCGAGTCAACCCACTCCTCGGTTTTCTGCGCCGGTGTCGTCTCATTCTCCGCATAACTCATCTCAAACTTTTGCCCATTATAGTAGTTGCCCTCCCGCAGGGCCAATGCCGCTTCCGATTCGTTCGCATAGCTGACGGTGCAAGTCATGCGCCGGGGACGCAACACAAAGTTCACCAAAGTGCCGAACCGCCCGAAGTGCGATCGGGCCACATATTTATCCAAAAACAACTCAGGTATGTTCGTGCAGCTGCAAGGCGAGAATTTAAGCGCGCGAATTACAAATGGAAATCTGTATTCGACTTGATTCACTTACAGCAGAGTCTTGTAGTTGTAATCATCGCCTGGACGTGAATCTGCCATTGAGTCAAGGGCATGCGATTTAGTTGGCGTTGCACAAACAATTATAACGTAAAGGCGAACAAGTATACGGATCAGAACTTATACACTAATTAAAACAAGTCGGCAGTGTGCGCTAAGTAGAGAGGAGAGTCAACACGTGTGACTTGTGACTTAGTCACCAACACACACAAAACGAAATGTAACGACAAGCAAACACGATATTAATTATTATACGACCGACACAATGCATCTAAAGTACATACTGTATTTAGGGCTATATTTGTATATTTAAATATATTTACTGCGAATTTAAACGAAGGGTGCTTCTCACGAATTATAGCACGAATACACTGCATTGTATTTTTGACATTCTCCACTATGTTCGTATCGTGTGCAATGGGCTAATTTTAAAGATACATAATTTTCGGTTTTGTAAAATGATTTTTTATTAATTGAATAAGTTTGCTTTTAACTTTCGTTTAACTCTACAATATATATTTATGCTGTGATATTTGACAACACATTTGGCACATCTCTACTGCCAGCCATGCCAACTGACGCCATATAGGGAATGAGTATTTTGGTTTTGCGGCGAGTTGTTAGTTTGCGACCACAATTGATACGGCAAACAAGTTTTTGACATGGAGTCGTCCGGTAGTGCGGCGCGCGTGTGTTCGGATCGAATTGCGTTACATGCTTAACTTGGTTAATATACAGCATTTTGTATATATCTTCAACGAATGCATTCTAATTTTTTTTTAAACGAATTAACGCTAATTGTAGAACCAGGTTCTACTGAAACAAGCGTTTAGTGGAAGTGCAAGATAGTGTATAACAGCGAAAGCAAAACGACGCTAACAAAGCGATAGCCATAAAACGACGTTGCGACGGCAACGCTGACATAAAAACTAATAAATTTAAAGTTGGCTTGAAGAGCCTATGTGGCTGAAATAATAATAAAAATATACAAATGTTTATAGAAAACTTTGTAGTTGGGTGCAGCAGCAGTGCAAATTGCCTACGCTCGCTATTTTTTTGTATCTTTTTTTTTTGAAATTTGTTTTGCGTTTTGTTACGAAGTTTCGATGATCTTGGCCTGTTGTTTGCCTTTTTTGTTGTAACTCGTTTTATGCGCGCGCGACTACAATAACGAGCGAAACAACAACAACAACAAAAAGCAGCTACAATAACGACGAATGCGCGACGTCGACGAATGCGCGTGTGATTCATGCAAAGGCAACATAAAAAAATATAACTATGTACGACGACCACGAACAACGGCTGCAAAATGAAATACAGTAAAATATACTAAGAAAAATAATAAATAAATATTAAGAAGTAAACGTGCTCAGATAGTGAACGAGAGAGGGAGGCAGACAAAATAATACATGACGCGTGCATCCTGCATTGAGAGCGCGAGGCAAATTTAAAAAATACAACAAAAAAGAACAATACAATAGCCGCAGCACATACATACATATATGCATAGCTAAGGTGTGTGCGTGTGTATATTTTTGCTGTTGTCGGTTACAATAGTGGTGGCACTGTGTGGTACAGCTGTCAAGTGCGGAAAGCGCAGCCGCAACGTCGAGTCCTTTTTCGTTTTTGTGAGCGCTATCTCTTTCCTTCCCACACCACCGACGCCATAAATAGACAAGCACGTGTATATGTGTTTGTGTGTGTAACTGCACTTTTGGTCGATTGAGGAGATGACGCCGAAGCAGAAGCCAAAGCAAAGTATAATAAATAACAACAACAACCGCAACAGAATTGGCAGCGTCAACAATAAATTCCAACATTCCAATGCCAATCATTTGCAATGTGAGAGAAACAAAAAATATTAATAGAATCGTCCGAAACTAAACAGCAGCAGAAGAAGAAGAATTGGCCGAAGAAGTGCTAATACTTCAAAACAGTGTGCCCCATATAATTATAAAACACCAACAACAATGAAAGTTACCGTTTGCTTTGGGGATGTGCGGATTTTGGTGCCCTGCGGCTCTGGTGAGCTGCTTGTTCGCGATTTGATCATCGAGGCCACGCGTCGCTACAAGAAAGCCGCCTGCAAGGTAAGTCTTAGAGTCAAATGTTTACTTACCCTTCCCCTTACCACCGCCCACTCTGACGTTGCTTGAGGTTTAAACAGTTATGCAAATATTTTGCGAACAAATAAATGAAATTTCACAGGGAAGTCATAAATTGTCGTCAAATCAATCAAAATATTAAATAAATAATGAAAAAACAACAAAATTAAACAAATAAGAACTAAATATTTGTAATAAAAAATGATATTAAATTATAAATAAATAATAAATGAATATTCATAATAAAAAATAATATTGCATTATAAATATATAATAAATAAATGATAAATACTATAAATGTAACCAATAAGAACTCTATGCTGAAAATAGTTTTATTCTAAAATAAAAACCTCTTCGGAATCATATGTGTCGCCAATTTAGCTATTTTATCGCCAGCTCTGAAGTTTTTAAAATGTAAAATTGAATCTTAACGTTTTTTAGAAGTTCAATTTAATTTTAAAATATTTAAGTTTATATTGAAAAAAAGAAATGTGTTCTAGCTATATTTGGTATATTTTTGTATTGGGGATCGTTCAGTAAATTTGCTGCAAAAGTTTGGTGTCCTTTCAAGAATGAAGCTGAATGATAAAAAGGTCTTTTAGTTTAGTCTTATTTCTAGCTACCCCTTCCTATATTCCTATATGTAGGTATACCTAGTTGTTGCGATATATTTCTAGCTACGTTTGGCTATTTTACGGCGTATTTCTAACTATGTCTAGCAATGATTAGCTATTTCTATTTATCTCTGCCTATATATATAGGAATATTTAGCTGTTATTAGTAATTTCTTACTATGTTTTGCTATTTTTAGCCTCATGGCCAGCTATGTTTAGCGTCATCTAGCCTTGTTTTTAGCCATTTTTGTAACTCAAGTATTGGCAGCACTGCCCTGCCCTTCGTGTATGTGAGCGGAAATGCTGCACTTGAGCCTTGTTCGTAATTACAAAAAACAACTAAAAATTTGGAAGAGGGGTGCAGCTCAGAATTACATACACACGCACACACACATACGTAGATTTAAGAAATGAAGACGAACTTCGACCGATTGCGTTTAAGAAAATGTGTTCGAGTTCTTCTCTGCTGGTTGCCAGGCCTGGCTAGGTAAAATATTTGAATAATGATAACCGCAGACAGATAAAATGAAAGCATAAAAGGGATTGAAAAAACAACAACAACAACTCTAATGATACGCCACACCGCCGCCGCCACCGATCTGCTTGATAACAACAACAAACACAAACAAATCAAAAGGCGAACTCAGAAAGCAATTCAGAATTGAAACAGAATGTTGCATTGTTCATTGGATGGTTGAACTCATTTGAACCCGGCCAGCATAGTTTTGTTTTTCGGGGTAACAAAAACGTTACGGTAGGGCCTTGGCAGGCCGTGCCACGACAGGTACAAGACACAGACACACACACGTACACACAACATTAATTAATCAAGAACCAGACAAGGACAGAAACTCTTCGTCTTTGGAGGAAGACATAAAATGTTTCTAAGGGCCCGTCTAGATCGCTTATTGAAAGCAACTCAGATATACTTATAAGGGCCAAAAAAGATGAGTCTTTTATGGCTGTTGGAATGTGTGCTTTTATGACAATTATATACATATACACCGATTCCCAGCACCGGAAGTGGGCTAATTAATATATACGAGCACTCACTCATGGATTACGAAGCGCTTTTCGAGGCACCACAGCCACATCCACATCCACAGCCATAGCCACGGGCTCAGCATACCTTCGAAAGCATACATATAATTAATACCTATGTACATATGTATGTATATGCTTGTGAGAAATTCAAACACCATGTGCTCTACAAAATGTACATAAATCATTTTTCGAAGCAAACAAATGCTGTACCTTACGCGACACTATCTTTTAAAGCCAAATATTATGCCATCAATGTTTGTTTTCAAAAATATGCCGACCTATATTGTTGTTGTCTTTGTAGCATTGATTCACTGATAATCATAGCTTCGAATACCTACATTTTGTTTCGTTTACAAAATTAGTTGATGTTGAATAAATATTCGGAGCATGCTCCTTTGCAAAGTCGAAAACTATGTGGAAACATACTATATGCTTCGATTGTTAAGAATTGTTTGAAATACTCATAAGAAGGCTCTGAGTGTATGTTTTGTGCGCAGGTCTTCTGAAATCCTGTACACTTTAATTAAATGTTTCCCAACGGCATACCACATTCTCTCTAACTCCATACCTGACCCTACAGGTGGCTTGGTCGAGCTCTAAGATTTAAGGGGAAGTGATGGGTTAACTTCTTCAAAGACTACTCTTTCATTATTCAAGCATTTCCTAATTTCCAACTAGATACGTAGTTGAAATCTATAGTTTGTTCAGCTTTAGATATCGATAAAACATATAGCTTCTCGACTACACCAAATGTTTGAATTATTGTTATATTCAGCGAATTACATATAAGCTTATCATATTCTCCGCTTAGACTGACTCAGGAGAAACTAATATATACTCGACATACTTGTATATATTGTCATGTCTGTATATATGTGTGTTTTAACAGTCGGTGGGCGTTGTTGCTTATCATTATACATATGTATGTGCGCGGGGCATGCAAATTTCATGGCAATTTCTTTGTTCAGATATTACGACTACTATGGATTGGCATAAGGTGGGCTTAGCCTGAATTCATTGATCGGTTCTACTATACAATGCTCCGCCGTTCTAAATTCCAATCCACACACACACACACACACACACACACACATACACGCATACACACACTTGGGGACGGCGGTGCAACTGAAAACCTGTTTGGCGCAATTCGTAAAACATTCAGACACATATCCACATACATCGATTGATTTATAAATACATAGACATATGCACATAAGTATAATTATCAAAGCGTTTTCTCAACTTTGTGCTAATGATAGATTCTCTAGAATTATTCGATTAAACATTAAATATAGTAACTATATAAATAAATGTGATGGCATGACAAGCTTTTTAAATCTGTTGCCATTAAAATATACAATTCATACGTATGCTCCATTGGAAAGCGTAAGGCCTAATGTTTAGGAAGGATATTCAAATTGTTTCCGCACAGATAGAGTTACAGTCAATGATCCGAAGCAGTCGTCGTTTGATCAAATTAATTAGAATGACTTTCCCTCACTCGGTGGTGACGGTGGTGGTTTTTCGGTGTTTGGTGGTGCCGGCCAACTCATGACTGGCCCATGATTATGGTGGAAAGCACCACCAACTAACCATCAGAACGCAGAATGCCTGCCTCGTCCCCTGCTTCGGTTCTCTGTAAATACAGGAGTGGCCACAATGGCCCTTCCCTTCCCCTGCCAATGCAGTATAGCTCAGGAAGAGAGCTGCAGCTGTGTAAGTAAGGTGGGTAGATAGGTGTGGTGATTACTAACAGTAGCAGAGTTACCACTAAAATGGAACTAGGCCCATTTAAACGTGCGTCTCTTCCACAGAGGAAGAAATTTGTCAGCTTCCGGGTGGCCTTTTGCTCTGCAAATATGTACATAGATGGGTGGGTAGATAGGTGACTAGATAGGTAGCTACGTCATCATTCAGAATAGTTCATCAGCTGTTTCCTTAAAGAATTTTCAGCAAGATGGATAGCTTTTCTTTGCCTTGAAGTTGACGATCGGACAAACAGGCGGCTATATCGACTTGTCTTTTCATACTGATCAAGAACATACTCACACTTTGTGGAGTCTGCCACGCCTCTTTCTGCGTATTACATGCATTCCCCTTAAACTACCAGTAGTATACCCTTTGGATACAGTGTATATAAAAATGAGTTCTTCTTCCTTTGTGCTCCTGAAACACTCTTTCCGGCATTTGAATTTCTTACTCAGACACTTGAATGAAAAGTCAGCAGTCCAGCAATGTTGGGCCCATTGCCATGGCAACAATTAATAATGCTGATTATTGTTATTCTTCTTCTTGTTGTTTTTGTTGGCAGAAAACTTGACGCATCATAAACCAACAACAACACCAACAACTGCAGTGGAAGTAATAATTCTAGCGTGCAATGCCGTGCCCGCCCAGGTGCGCTGCACTACACTGCCCAGCACAATGGGCCTTGCACCCTTAGGCTCTGAGCACAGACGCAAGGAAAGTTAAATACTAGGTTGGTTCTACTGGCAACGACTCTACCTCTATATATGTATCAATCGCTTAATTTCGGTTAAGTTGTATGGCTCGGTTTCGGATCTGAGCTCCTTGTAATAACAAAACTATTCAATTACGATACAATGCTTAGAGCGCAGTTCAATTCCACAACTCAGCGCTATACATACATATAGTATATTATATACTATAGTTATATAGGTGTATGTGTGTGTGATTGTGTCTATTTATTGTTGCTGCTTGTTCAGGCGATGGCTGATATATTGGATGACCATATTGGGCAAGAAACTTAATTGAATAAAATGTTGGTTTTTCTACGTTTTTTGTTACATTTTATTGCTGCATGTAAGCCAAAGTCTAAGTGCCAGCCCACACACTCACACACACACACACACATACACATATAGAGGAGAACACCAACACTTCACTTGGAATTCATTCTATGTACATATATATTTATATAAATGTATCTATTCCCTCATGAAAAAGTTAATAAAGACAAAGTCGTACATCCATCGATCGCATCAATTACGTGCATGAAAAAAAGAAATGCGTTTCTCAATTCACGACTCACGCACGTGGGCTACAAGTATATTCTGAAATGAGCTCAGCACGCTCCACTACGATCGAAGGGGAATCAAATGCACGATGCTCGAGATATTCGTGACTCTAATTGATAACCAATATGTCTCCTCACCCCACTCCCCCTCCCTTTCCAGTGGGAACATCGTTTGTTCTACACGCACACTCGGGGCCTTCCCTAAACACACTCCCCATTGTTAAATCAATCAGAGACAGGCATGCATCTATCTACATAGAAAGGTATGCATCGTTCATTTACCATTT